GAATTTCCGAAAATGTTCACAAGGTTGAAAAAGGGTCTTCCCCTTTATGTCAAACTGCAGATGCAAATTATTTTTTGCTCGACCTTGGAACAATTCTTACAATTGAATGTTACGGCTGTAATGTGCCATGAGGTAAGACCATTCATTGCCGTAAACTTGGTACAACTTTCAGGAACAAAATAAAAAGTATAAATTTTGTTAATGTTTCCGAGAGGATGCTTTGCCATGAATTCCAAAATGAAGCAAGAACTTTCAAATAACTTATTTTTTATTATATTGTATTGTGCAATTAATACAAGATGACGGATACAAAGGCCCCATCAAGCTTTAAAAAAACACACAAAAAACACAATTGCAGTTTTAAAAAGAAACATTTACTTTGTACAACTCTGTAATTCACTTTTTTTTAACTTTATTTTGTACCTCTTCTGTCATTTTTATTACTAGATTGTATTTCTTCCTTTATTTAAACAGGGTTTCTTAAACAGTTTTGGAAAAAAAATCCCTTCTCACAGAATTGTGTTATTTTGAATACAATTTGAATTCCCACATTTGGTTTAATTGATTTTAACCACAAGGGAAGATTTTCATACCCTTAAGATACTGTAAGCAGTCATAGTATTGTCGGTTCGTATTCTAAAATGTAGAGTTAGACCTTGTTTCTATTATTTTTTTCTGGTGCTTTTAAGACAGCTTTTAGAACTGTGTACATAACCTGCCTTGTATATTTTGTCTGTATGTTTTGGTCCAGTGTGTGAGGAGGAATGTGTCAAATTATCAAATCCACCATTTGAAGTGGGAGACGAGGTTTTTATTGATAACAAAGTTTTAATTGTAATTGCTTGATTTTAAGCTTTTTTTAATTTTGAATTTTGAGCAAAAGTATGACCATTGTTTTTTTAATGGAAATTATTATCTTCCTTGGGTCAAGTTGAAGTTGATAGCCGAAATGGCAAGTGCTGTTCATTTTGGATGAAAATTTGTCCACAAGCTGTTCGGCATTTCAATTAGCTGGCCAATATTTTATGGTAATATCAGTGCCATTAAATTTGGCCCAAATTATTTTCCTGTATCTTTAGGGTTTTTCACAAGCTTGGATATTTTTGTGAAGCCTTCAGTGTTCATATTTAAATCAGTATCCATCTTTTAGCTGGATACTGATCAGTATCCATCCATGATCTCATTAGCAGTGTTATTAAACTTTTATGTCATTTTTTTTAAAAGGTCAGCTTTGACAGTTTGAATTAAAACAAATTCAGTACAGTGAGATGACTGTGGTCCTGCAAATATATAAAATATTTAAACTTTTGTGTAGCAATGTACATAAGGTAAAAATTGGTATGCAGATTTTTTTTTTCTAAGAAGTTGTGTTACTTGGGCACTAGGTTGTAAATTTGTGCCTTAGTAACTAGTAGTGTGTTAAAAGTTTAAGCTGTTGCTGTTTTGGCAATCAGTCCACACAGCTTGAAAGTGAAGCAAACTCTTTTGGGGAAATGAATTTCTTTTTTGGGAGGGGAAGGCGTTATGTTAGAGACTTGGTAAAATATAAAGGGTCCTACGTCATGGACTTCCAGTGTTTGAATCTACGATCAACAAAACTACAGCCAACGTAATGGTATGGTTACTTTCTTTTTGAATGACTAAGTGATTTGACTAACAAATATTTTGTTTTATGTTATAAAAACAGTATTAGTGAGATGAGAATTCAGACTAAATGTTGAACAAGTACTTTTGAAATTATGCAACGATTGAGATTGTATTGGTCACATATTTTAGTTCAGCAAGCATCAAAGATAACTGTTTTTCTGCTTTTTAATTGCCTTGAATTTTTAAAGCAACACCCTTGTGAAAATTGTTAAAGTTCATGGCAGGCCTGTAACAAATTGACGCTGTTATGGTGGGGAAAGCTGTAATGGAAGATGTATCGTTACATTTTATGATTAAAGGCAAACCATAGAGATAAGAGAAAATTAATATCTAGTGTAGGAATTTCAAAGCAGGACAATCCTCACAGCACTTTGGAATCAGTTGTTGAAGCACTTTGATTTTCTTTGCATTGAAAACAGGTGCTTAATTTGAATTGAATAAGATGTCAACTTTTTCTAACAGAACAATCTTTTCTTCCTTATTTTCTTCCTTTCAGCAAGCAGGGCTTGTTGAAAAGTTATGTACCTTCCGATTACAATGCCTTCAATCTACTTATTGCGATTCAATTTGTAAAAAAAAAAATTAAATATAGCATGTACATGTATGATGTAGCTGTATAGTGCGTTTGTTATATTGCCAAGTGTATCTACTATTTACTATAGAATGGAGAACGTGTATGATTTTCATCAATAACTTATTGTATTTTTCTTGCTTGAGCCTATTACTCTATTAACACAAGTACTCTTTTACAGTACTGTAATAATCATTTTATGCGGAGATGTACAGTGTTACGCCTGAAAGTACTCTAGATGCTTGACCTAGCTTTTGTAATATTTGAATGATGTAGAAAGGTGTCTTTTGGGAGTTTTTCTTGGGAGTTGTAGTAAGGGGTTTACTGTTCTTGGTTCTTTTTCTTATGTCAAAGGACGAGCTGTTAAAACCCAAAATATCTGACAATTTCAACTTTTGTTGACCATTTTGGATTTCGTTTCCTTTGTGAGTGCACAGTTTACAATTACATTGTATGTGCTATGTCATTCATCTGAGCATCTGAGTTGTGTGGCATTTTATACGACACTGTTGATTGGTCGATTAAATGACAGCCTATGAGTATGCAACCAATTCCCACTCTTGTTAGATTTTTGTGTTCCTGTTTTTCATTAGCGCCCATTTGTGACTAGCTTTGTGATTACCAAAGATTTTTTGATAATTATTTCTTTTAAGAATCGCCGGATTTTGATAAACAGGAATTAAAACTGTAATTTTATACATGTACTGCAGTCCAGATTTTGTTGTGTGAGGATAACAAAAAATGCATTTTGGTGACTCTTTAGCATAAAATATTTATGTTAAAGGTGTGAGGGGGAACTTGTAATTAATTTTGGATGATACAAATATATTTTGAAGCTGTCGGTGAATCTTGGCATTAAAAATTAATCATGCTTGAACAGCCTAAGCTAAAAAAAGGCTAATATGTTCATACATAAATAGTTGCTCATGTATCAGTGTCCAGTACAGATTAATAAATATGATAAATGATGTATACAATTCCTGCATTTCTACTCTTGTATGTTCATAAGACACATTACAAAAAAAAATTGTCTCATTGCATGTACATTGTTCTGTACTGCATGTATTACATGTATTGAAATATCATGTTTCATTACTGATTAATAAATTAAGTGAAACCATTTTGGTGTCTAGCATGACTTATGTGACTCCATTTATTACATAAATCAATGCAGATATGTACAGATTTTCGTTCTTTTTTAAATTAAAACTTGAGGATAAGTCTGTGTTAGGATTCAGAGACTCTACGACCTAGACACAATATTTTAATATTCTTTTTGTTGAAAGATCTCTTACATTGCAATTTTATTGTGAGATTGAAATTAATACGGATGTTGTTTACTCATTTCATACACTTAGGCCCTAATTGGAGTTCAGTTAAAACAAAATGAACAAAATGTTTTTCTTAACCTACCTGCAAGTTTTCAGCTATTCAATATTGTTTTGATGGTTATTTGATTAAGTTTGCAGAGTATCTGATAGGGGGATTTGAAATGTTTAAAGAAAATTCATATCAGTTCTCTTCAAAAGGCAAAAGTGATCGAGAACACTGCTTGGGGCTGCAAAAGTCATTTTGGAACTTGCAAAAGTCATTTGTGAACAGAACTTCTATAAAAACAGAAGTGTCCTAATAGCTCTAGTTTTTTTTTTATAATTTTGACCACTACTTTGGACGAAAGTGCGACTTTCCTACCGGTTTTAGCAGTTAGAGATGGGTGCGAGTGACAGCATGTCTTTTCATTATCTTATGCATTGGGAACGGGGTCCTAAACTACACCTTTACCGTTCCATGCTACCTGTACGCTTTTGACTTTTGCAGAATTAAGGACAAACCTGTTCTTGGACCAATCAGCACGCGGCTCTGTTACTTTGCCTTAAAACGTTTGACCGTCCAATCAGAACGCGCCAAACACAAGCTGATGCAAGGCTGTCAATCTCGTGTAAAAGCTGCAACGAAACTGTCAGTTGCCGCGAGATATTTCCAGAGTACGAAATGAAACTTAGACGATAGTTTGCATTCTTGGATCCCAACAATTGTCAGGAACTAGTCTTTGTGGTCATGACTTGAAGGCCAAAACCCATTTCACTGAATTCAACGTCTACTGCAGAAGCCGTGTTTTTTTCAGCGTGTCGGGTGGAGTCGAATCGTGCACGGACTATGAGACACACATAAAAAGTAAGTCGATTTCATTCACTCAACGTAGCACTGTCTTCTTATTCTTTATACATGGAGGCCTACATGTATTTCATTCACTGGAATTACATACCATGATACAAGCTACAAATTCAAACCTCGTTTAGAATGAGACCATTATCGTGTCGTCAGCTTTAATATCCTTACAAATAATTCGATAGTTGTGCATATTATTTCCCGCCTTTATGCATCGTTCTGATTTTCAAAGCGTTTGCTTACAAGTAATGTGGTTATATAGATGCTGGTAACTGAGCTGTAGGCCTCTGGTACTATGGTGCATGTTAGCCTATACAACCTGAACTTGACAGAGTTTGGTAGAAAAACCAATTGTACATTTTCAAAGTTTTGTTTATTACAATTCTGAAACTATGACAAGTTTGAATGAATCTAACTGATGTAAATACACTAATGCCGAAGTTACAGTAAATTATATAAGGCGGAATATTGGCACTACATGGAGATTTGCTTTAGCAATTGACGTGCGCGCTATAAATGTTGGTGCAAAATGATAATAACGTCTTGCATTAGGCCTAGATACCATTATAATTATTTTTAAATAAAAAAAAATAATGAACAAGACGGCCGGATGACTACTTCAAACACCATCCTTGCTTTGCATCCTCAGTCCGTCTCCGCCATCCATGACGTCATCCGTGACATCATCAGTGATGTCATCACCAACCATAACGTGCACGTTTGGTAAGGCATCGTGATAGGCTGCCTGGCACTGTTGGGGCGAGTCTATGTTTTGCGTGGACGTCTTGTCAGTCTTGTACTCTGACCTCGTGACAATAAAAGCAATGGAGCCACCAAAGAGCACCATTGACATACCGTAGATGTTACCAATGTTTCCCGAGGCTACACCGCTTGAGTATTCAGCTCTGGGGAAAAAAGAGTTCAAACATTTAGGTGTTGTTTCAAAGTCATCAAGATGTTACCAATACCCCGATCCGTCAAGTCCCGCCCACCGAGCACGTGGGCAACAACACGGTGACTCTCACTGCACGTGCACACTGCACGTTATAGCCACGCCCATCATGTGCACGTGCACGCATGTCGGATATTAATCACGGGTATGATTGGTCAAAATATCATGGGCGGGGCTCAATGGTATTAGCTGAGTTTAGCCGAAACAAAAGGTAATAGCGTACCTTTCACGTTTTCGATATAACAGCAAGCCTTTCGAGTTTCTGTAGTGTTTTACCCGACGTACAAGGATCAGCTTGAACAGCAGAACCTTACTCAAATGCCAGAACTTCATATTGGCCCGACAGGGATCGGCTTTACTTAAAATCAGGGCCGTTACGATTCAATGTTATTGTGAAGGGCTAGGCCTACATATTTATTTTGGGACATTTAAATTGGCACAACTCACATTTTATAAATGGAGAGCTCGTTCAACCCCGTTAGGCAAGACGCTAGGGAGAGCGAGAACATGAAAATCCCAAAGAAAACGTGGACTTGGGGATAGTGCGCCCTCAACGGATGATCCTGTCGTAGAAATCGCTCTGCGCCGTAATAAGCACATCCTGCGACAAACTGGACAAAAATCTCGATTTAGAAAAGTTGTTGCTGTTGTTGTTGCTGTTGTTTGTAAAATCCAGACGCCATTCTAAAATTGTGTATACATTAGTTTAGCTCTGTAGGCCCAATCATAGCCGTAGGCCTACAGTTCCGAAACTAAGGTGTAAAGTATACCACTACATGTAGGCCTACTTGTACAATACATGTATATTTTTTTCGATAGTTGACAGATGTTTCAATATAGCAATCGTATGGTATTATTTTCACACATCATTGTTGTAACTGTAAAGATACTATGCCTTTGTTTATCCTCACCTGTAGACAAAACAAAATAACGGTGAAATACCCCAGCCAGCTGTGCAAGGAATGATTATGAACAACACCGTGAATTTCCTGGGCATCTTTGGCGAGGGCTGCGGCGCGGAGGCCGGCGATGAGAAGGATGATAATCACGGTGTGGACGGACGCGTGTATGGCCTTTTGGGCAAGGTATGGGAGGCGACAGCGGCTTAAAACACGGAAGGATATGAGGGCTGGAATTTAAAGAGACAAAGGGTTATCGTTTATAGGTAAGTAGCATCTTTTTATTTGGTTAAATTCGGTTCGGTATAATGGTTTGTTATATTTGGACTCATAGGTATACATACGATTGGAAAGATGGTAAATTTTAAACAGATGCTCAATGAAGGTGTTTCATTTGTTTTTAATAATAATATACGATAATCCAGTTTATCAGATAATCCAGATAATCACATTATTCATATATTTCGGGGGTTTTGAAAAATATTTAGCTGCAGGGCGAAAAAGTGATTAATTGACAAAAGGACAAATAAACATCAACAATTCAATCAGTTAAATCAATCAACCAAGCAAGCAAAACGTGAAAGACAGCTCGATCACAGACCTTGCCCAAAAATCACTAAAGTGTGAAGATTGATGGGCAGATTTTGAAAATGAACAAACAAACAAACGATATTATTCTTAAAAATCGACAGAATTAATGTAAAAACAAATAAAAACGCAAGCGATTATTTGGGGGGGGGGGGCGCCGTCAATCTCTAAAAAATTAGGACGACAGTTAAATTGACAAAGTACCTTACCTTCGCCGAAGAGGAATACCAATGATAACGTCAGCAACAATGGGTGGTATCCCCCAGGTGCACCCCAGACGAACCCACCAACGTGGTGCTGTAACCATATCACCATGGTAACCAACATGGCGCCTGCAAAGAGCTGAGAGAGGACCACAAGGGGCCAGAAGAGGGAAGGCATCGTGGTTGCTCCGGAAAAAAAGTCGGGGAATGGAACTTCCTAATTCGCTTTTTAAAATCCGGATTGCTGAATGCAGCTTCTATCCAAAACAAGGAAACAAAACAGGTTTCTCAGATTTATAAACTAAACCATCAGTTTGGCTGTTCTGCATTATCAATAGACTGTTTGCACTGCGCCATCTTTGAGGTGTGGTTTTGTTCAACAGGAAACACATAATACATTGTAGACATCAAGTGCATTCATTCGTTAATGGATTTACATAACAAACTATAACCTCAAAGCAATTGCTGAATGCAATCGACCTGTACCGATAAAGATTGGCTGAGCCATATAGAAAGTAAAAGGCATATGCCTACATAGGACCTCGACAAAGGTCCTACAAATTAATACCAGGTCGTGTCACGTCGTGATAAACTATGGCGGAGTGATGTTCTTTAGAGGCTTCAAACTCGTTCACCAATGAATGAGGAATTTCACTCTCCATTGACAAATTAAGTGACAAAATGGTGGTTGTCTCGTTTACATTGGTTCCAATATTTATTATTCTCCAAAGATGTAAACTTACTTACAAGTTACAAGGAATTCTTCACATCAGGTATTCATTGAGCTCGGTTCCTTGCTCTGTGGTTCAAGGTTTATCTCTGTTGTGATTGTCGGGTCCACCATCTGTTGATGAGTGCTTGAAATGTTGGCGGAATTCAGTAAATTGTAAGAACGACTTCGGACTACCACACTGCGACTTCCTCTACTCGCTGCCTGACACAGGTAGAACTCTTGCTAGTCCTGGCACTGCAGAAAATCCAAGTGAGGAAAAGCGTGGGAAAAGTTACCTTCTTGTGGAAACTTGAATGGCTAGCCGTCTTGACGCAGTCCGACTGTTAGTGTAAGATGGTTGAAATCTTGAGGGCACCACGCAGCGTACACAGCCTTTGTTGAATTTCTTTGTTATGACTCATAAGACTTCCTGTGGTCTTTTAATCCTTCTTAATCCCAATGTAATCCAACAGGAGTTGGTATTAGAATCAAAAGACACCGACTACAGAGAGCAAAAAATCTCTATATTATGTTTAAGACGGTTCGTAATCCTTCCCTTGTACCAAGATTCCTCCATGCTTGTACAATACTACCGTAAATCCAGATTATAAGGCTAGATGATTTATACATGTACATGTACATGTGTACATGTACATGTACATTTTTGTACTACTACCAAAACTATATGGATTTACACACAGCTGTGATGAATGAGCCACTGCAGAAACCATAACCTACCTTGTACGAATACGAAACACCGACAGAAAGGTCCACAATTTCACAAATCACGATTTCAGAAGTCATAAAGTTTAAACACTTCGCTAACAACAGTAAACTTGTTGTCCAATGTCCTGTGGTGTGCTTTTCGCACGATGGTTTCTCCTGGTTCCAACACTTGTTCTGTTCATGTGTCTTGAGGCTACCACACAACGGTCTTGCTTACTTAAAGTGTCGTATATCCAAGGAGCCGCTTGAGACCGGACCTCTAGGGCCATACAAGGTCATAATGGTGCCGTGTGGCACGCGGTGTACGTGCCATCAACAAGTGGGAGGAAATTATAAACACGTGTTTCTTGTAATGTCTACATTTTAAACTATACCAACACACAAATGAATATTTTGTCCCCAGACAACCTCCATTTACAGAGCGATTCTGGATTTAAATTATCGCACCTTTTAAAGCAGTTTAAGGCAAATCCATCTTGACTGATTTCAACCAGTACTTTTTTTCACATGAACGTTTTGTTCCTCGCAAAAACTATTAGTGTGGTTTCCTTTTCTCGCCTCTTGTAGCCTTTTATTTCAGATTAGCAGGTAATTTCACCTTTGATTAATAAAGTTTGCATATGAACAAATCCCTTTAGTCTTTCTTGTTTCTCCCAAAAATATTTGTTTTCAAATAAAATTGAAACGAGAACTCTGCAAAGACGATATAAAAGACAAAACATACAGAGCAACTATGAATTGATGACTCCATTATTTTTCCTTTCTTAGATTTATTCGAGAACATTTGCTTATTACATTACAAGCCCATGCTTACAAAAAATGCTATAAAGAATACTACATGTATTACCATTTTCAACTTACAATTTACCATTTGTCAGAAGAAACAAATGCAATGTAATAACTTAGCGAAACTTGTTTTTAGAATTTGTAAAATACGCAATATCCCAAGACACATACAATGTATATAATGTATTAACTCCGGTCTTAGAGATGTTAAAACAGCTAGGAGCAATGTGATCAATGGTGTGATAATTGGACGACACCCAGTCTTGTTCCCTGGCATTAAAATGACACATTCAAGCATTGAGAAGACTGGGCATAGCTCAAATTCTCATTTTGAATTTCCAGTAAGACACAAAGTTTTGACCAAAATGATTCTCAAATGAACCATGTAGACACAGTTTTTAATTCGTAAAGCATTTGGAAAAAAGGGAATGACTTTTCCGGGAATAAGGACCGAGGATGAGTAGCTAATGCATCTTCCTCACTATGGATTTTAGGAGTTTGCAAACTAAAATTGTACGCCTGGACAACCAAAAAGGCCTTTACAAAGATTAGAAAAAGCTTAGAGCACGTCTGTAGGGTATTTTTCCATCTTATTTTATTGGGCCTGAGTCCTCAACTTGTGCATTTCCCAGAGTTTACTCAATCTGTTTCCGTTGAAGTACCCCCCGGTTTAAGCCCAACACATTTTAACATTTGTCTTTCAAAATATAGAACTGCCAGCCTCTACTTCCAGAACTTCTTGATGGACATGTTCTTCTCCGAGTCTTTTTGCATCACCTGAGCAGAAAAAAACAGCAAAAAGTAAGTTTGTTATTCCAGTCAAACATCATACGAAAAACATCACGGACGGCAGCGTAGCCCCAACTGCCCCAATGGGATTTCATACACAGATCGAATTCACAAAATTCTCCCAAGAATTTGTAACAATATATAGTGAAACCTGTTTTAATCATTTCATCAAAGTTTCTAATCCAGGTTGTCTGTGAGGTTTCCAATGAATTCTTCCAAATTTGTGAACCCCCCCCCCCCCCTTAAGAAATTACCCCGGAACCGTCCTTCCCCCAATAGATGATAAAAACAACATCCCCCAAAGAAAAAACAAAAATGATCTTCAGAACTGAAGATGTTACCTTTGCCACCGCCATTTCAAAGTCTTCCTGTGTTACGTGTACTCTTCTCTCCCTCAATGCATACATGCCAGCTTCCGTGCACACTCCCTGGTTCAAGACAAAAAGCAAACAGGTACATTAACTTTTGGAAAACTATAATGGAAAATTTCTTCAGGACAGAATTTGAAACCAATTTAGAATCATCAATATCAATCACAAATCTGGTAACAAGTTATTCAAATTCAATCACAAGTCAAGTCACAAACAATGGGTGGTGACGATGAAAGTATAGAATGCCCTTGTTACAGTTCACTTGAAAAGCTTGTGACTGGACCTACGACTGGAGGACTTGTGATGGACTTGAGATGATTTGTGAGAACGTGACTAAGTCTCTGCCAGAAATCCAATATTCTTGCATAATCTCACTGTAGCTTCTTCTCTTATATTCCACTCGAGAAAGTGAGTGAAAAAAGGGTGGGGAACTTTCTTTATCTCCCATTTGGCCGACCACACATCACACAATACACATCACCCACCTTGACTTCAGCCCCTGAGGCTCCCGGCATGAGCTCGGCAATCTTCCTCAGGTTGATGCCTCTTGTTAGGTTCATCTTTCTGGAGTGGATCTTGAGAATGTCCAGTCGGGCTTCCTCGTTGGGCGGCGGGAACTCGATCTTGCGGTCGATGCGGCCGGGGCGGAGCAGGGCAGAGTCCAGGATGTCAATGCGATTTGTCGCCATGATCACCTAATGAGTCGTATAAATCAAAGTTATTATCAAGTCAATCACTATATAATCTCAAGTCAAGTCACAAGCTATTCTGAAGTCCAGCATTGTAGGGCACTGTGGACACCTACTACCTATTGCTAGGTACCCACGTTCAAGGAGCAAGTACCTAGTGCCTTTCACAGTAAACAAGTACAAGGCACCCAGTACCCATAAGCAGGCACCCTTGTAGAGAAGACTGACACCCAACCCCTATGAATCTTCTCACCTTGATATTCTTGGTGGCTTCAAACCCGTCTAGTTGGTTGAGTAGTTCCAGCATGGTGCGCTGGACCTCGCTGTCTCCACCAGAGCTTCCCTCGATACGGGTCGACCCAATGGAGTCAATCTCGTCCATGAAGATGATGGACGGTGCGTGCTCTCTGTCAAATTATATAAATCATCTTGTTAAGTTTGACACTCTGACTTCACTCCAACTCAAAACAGCGTAAATTGCTAAAAGAGTGGTGTCAACAATAGAACTGCCCCTAATTCTCCATGATCATTGGAAAAGGAAAAGAAAGCATTTTGGAGGATTCTTGAAGGCTCGGGCAAGTATGTTTTGGGAATTAGGGTCAATACATACATAAGTATCCGGTATCAATATACAGTTTTGGTGAAATATCACTGAAGCAATTTAGCTTTGCAGATTTGATTGGTCAGTCTGAATTAAGAAAGTCCCAACTGGTGTACAACAAACCCCTTATCAACTTAACAGAATTCACCTGCCACTAAATATGAACTAAATTTGATGGCATGGGGAGATTACTTGAATACGACTTCACTGCAATACCTTGCCATGACGAAGAGTTCTCTAACCATTCTGGATCCTTCACCGATGAATTTCTGGACCAGCTCAGAGCCCGATACTCGAATGAACGTACACTCTGTGTGGTGAGCTACCGCCCTGGCTAGTAAGGTCTTGCCTGTACCTGGGGGACCGTAGAGTAACACTCCCTGTGGAAAGAAGGAGGAGTGATATAAGGCTGAATAAAGAAATTGAGTGTCAAAAGATTGTTGACATCTAGAACACCATACAGAAACCAACTGAGCTATCCAGAGCTATATTGAAGTGTGTTCGCTGAAAAAGAGATGTTCAAGATATTTGTGACAATTGACAAGAAAAGCCCTCCAATGTTTCACTTTTTTATTATTTTTTATGTAGTTGCATAATTTTAGCCATACAAAGAGTGCTTTAGCTTTCTTCTGTGCATATTTGTATCCATGAAGAAAAAAAGTAATGAAATCTTCAGCCCAAAATAGAGACTTAAAATGCGATAATAACAGACTCAGGCAGACGACAAAACTTACCTTTGGTTGTGCGATACCAAGCGCATCAAACAGCTCAGGGTGCTTGACCGGGAGTTCAATGACCTCTTTGATCTCCTTGATCTGTTTGTCCAGACCTCCGACCATCTCATAGGTAGAGTCTGGTACCTTCTCCACCATCATCAGACTGACTAAGGGATCCACCTATAGGGTCAGGGAACCAAACAAAAAATTCGTACATTTTAAAATATTAGTCTGGCACTCAGGTAACTGTTGTCAGACTGAATGGGTTATTCGTTTCGGTGACTAAGGTACCAAACAAGGTCGTTACCATTAGAGTCTGGTACCCTTTAGCCATAGACTTTCTAGAGTATCTGTGAGTGGAGTCAGAGTACCAAACAAAAGAGCAAATTCAAGAATACTTTTAAATGTGTGGGAAGTTGTATGTTAGTCTCTGGGAATATTCGGTGAATTTCAAACCTTGTTTGGCAGGATTTTGTGCAGTGTGTGGCTATCGTTGCGCAGTGCTACCCTGCAGTTTGGCTGTACATCGTTGATGTCGATGGCTTTGTCGATGTCCACAACAAATTTACCTTCTGGGTGTACCTGTGAAAATTAGAGGAACATGCATTAAATATTGCAATTCTTTTGCAAAACTTTAGAAAAAAAAAATTGTATCAAGCGGTCCCTTCAGATCAAGAAACAGTTGTGTTGCAACACAATTAGTATTAATCAAATTTAAATATTTGGTCTATACAAATTTGAATAGGGAAACTGCACACAATTGTAGTTTACTTTTGTGTACAACAAAATTCTGAAATACTTATTTGAGATTCGAAGGCTAACCTTGACAAGGACTTTCTTCTTGTCCATGGCTTTGACAACTTCTCCCACATGTGAACCTTGTTCTTGAAGGAGCTGTAGTTCCTCACGCAACATCCGCACTGTGAAAACAATGATGAAAAATATTATAAGACATCCTCAAGGCATCCACATGAATCTAACGTCAAACCAGTCTCCCTTAACGCTAAAACTCCTTGGGTATTTTCTGCCATGAACCTAACTGTACTTAGGATCGTCCCAATTATAGCTGGGACAATGCCAGAGTTGGGGTGTAACATTTCCGCAGACTTCCACAGTGTGATTACCTTTGGCATTGAGCTCATTACGCTGTGCCTCTAATCTTCTTAAGTTCTGGCTTTTCTCTGTCACCACCATCTGTAGCTCGTCAATCTTTGTCATGTAGTACTTGCGGATCCCTTCTCCCTTGGGTCCATCCCCTTTAGCACCACTGTCCACCTCCATCTGCAATTCAAACCCATTCAATGTAAGGTCACTTTGCTCTAGAATGCATACGCCAGCAGAAGGCCTAAGATCTACGGGAAGAAAGATTTGCCTTTACACAGGCATGCAACTGGGAATTTTAAAAAACGAAGAATTTCTAAAACACACAAGACTTTGTACAGTGTTTTTCATTTGCAATTGCATTCATGAGAAGTAAAAAAAACAAGGAAATTAGCGGATCCGAGGAAAAGTTGCATGCCTGTTTGCATTTGAAAGGCATATGGAATTTATGTATGAATAAATTTATATTAAAATCTAATTTATTAGCAATAGCACATACCACAGTGCACAAAATAAAAACAAAAGGGAAAGCATGCAGTATCCAGATGCCACTTCTTTGGTTGGGTACAAAGTCTATGGAGAGTCAAGGACATTTTCAAAGTATGTCTTAACAAAATTGGAAATGTTTCTCAGTCCGAGATTCATGTCGTTTCAACATTTTTGCCACGACTGACCTTCATTGAGATGATATATGATGAAAAAAATTGGTGTCAGGATTCAACTAGCCCGACTGCGTCTGGCCGTACAGTACTATCGCAAGCTCTGTAGTACGGCCAGACGCCCGATGCTTCCAAAAAGACTGAATTTTTTTGGCCGCCGATGTAGCGATTTTGCTACATCTTTCGATCGCGATTATCTTTTCATCCAGGACACAAATTTCCAAAGTTAAGGTTCGTAGTCGTAGAGCAACTCATACCTTTTCGAAAAAACGTTCTTTGGTCTCAATATTTTCATCCATCTGGCCACAAGACGAATTTCAGTCATCAGATTCCACAAATATCGTCCCCCATGCGATCCCCCATGCGATTTCAAAATGGCGGCCGCGCTGTAATGTATGCATTATGCGAGCGCGCTTGGGCAAGATAATGAATATGCATTATTTAGTTCATGACCTCGTGTTTGTATGGCCAGCCGCGCTGAGTGTCCGACAAACGTCATAAACTATGATGCATATTCATTATCTTGCCCAAGCGCGCTCGCATAATGCATACATTACAGCGCGGCCGCCATTTTGAAATCGCATGGGGGATCGCATGGGGGACGATATTTGTGGAATCTGATGACTGAAATTCGTCTTGTGGCCAGATGGATGAAAATATTGAGACCAAAGAACGTTTTTTCGAAAAGGTATGAGTTGCTCTACGACTACGAACCTTAACTTTGGAAATTTGTGTCCTGGATGAAAAGATAATCGCGATCGAAAGATGTAGCAAAATCGCTACATCGGCGGCCAAAAAAATTCAGTCTTTTTGGAAGCATCGGGCGTCTGGCCGTACTACAGAGCTTGCGATAGTACTGTACGGCCAGACGCAGTCGGGCTAGGATTCAACATTCTCTCCAAACAAAAAGTCAATTGTCAAACTCATTTAACTTGTTACGTTAGCATGTTTTTGTTTAGGCCTAACATTTTGATTCACTTTTTTCACAAAACAAATGCAAAACATTGAAACTGAAATTGTACTTAGTTAAATAAATAAATAAAATTTAATATAATTATACTTCAGTTAAGAAAGTTATGGTGACTTGCAAGTAATTTTAAGGCAACCCCTCCCCCCCCCCCTTGAAAAACCCCCCAAAACAACCTCATCTTTTCTTGCTAGTGCAGGTCCGCCATTAATTTCATGCCATTATCTGATTATGACGAAGCAAAAACAAGTGTGCGTAAAGCAATGGGCAAATCGACAAAGAAATTTACGGAGTGAATACATATTTTCCAATACAATTCTACGAATGGTAAACTTCACGTATATGCGAATAAGGGTTTGATACTTCTTATTTTGGTTGTTTTAAATTTACTATACAAAAGAATACAAAGTTATTCCGAAAATTGAATTAGAACTGCGAATCATTTTCTCACCTCTGTGGTCGCCATGTTATTTTTTGGTACGAGTTGCATTCTGGGAACTTCTGCCGTAAAAATTTAAAAAACCGGGGTCTACACGCAGTAAAACATGTGTGACAAACTACCCCTTTTTTAAAAGTTTACAGGGAATAAGTGTTTAAAAACAAATGTAAAAAACCCCAGCAATTTTCATTTTTGTTACCTTGTCACCCATAAATTTAGCATTTATGCCTTTAAACAATAGTTTAGTTTTGCAAACCCCATTATCATGCGATTTTTTATTACAAAGCTAGGGGGTATTTCCGTCCAGACAGTGCCACGAAAGTTCAATCAACGTGCATCACAACCACGTTCTCATACGAAGCGATCTGAACATAATGTATGTATGTGCAGACTTTAAGATCTGGGAATAAGGTTACCGGCAGATAAATCACAATTTCCTATTCATTTTGTGCATCATGCACTAGCACAGGTGCACAACAAATGTTGTTTATTGATCGTGTATTCACAGTGATTTAATGAGAGAAATCAAAATGACTTTCTTCATATTTGTATCCAAATGGAGACACAAATTATGACAGCCATGAAATACTGAACAACAGAAAAAAATGGTGCTCCAAGTGGAATTTTTTTGGCTCATTCAATTGGCGCATTTTCCGGATAGCTGAAGTGATTCTCCAAAAACTTAATAGTGAATCAACAACAATGGCAGTAATGAGCCGGTCACGCACTGTAATCTATATAGCCCTCGGAATATGTGCTGGGGCCTTGCTCAGCATGCTCTGCGTACCGCTAGAAACTGGCTGTGGCGTTGACAGCTACGTCCACGTCGGAACGAAGAGAAAAACAAGCGCTGTCGACATGATCGATTATGGAACGGATGAAAATGGCAACCAGCTAAATGACGAGGATTTCGAACCAGTGCTGATGACTGTAAACAGGCCAGTCGTTAAGAAGGATATCGATCGACAGCGACTGATTCGGATGCGGTACATCTCGTCGGAGCTTTCAATCAAGGAGAAGTTGTTTGTAGGTGTGATGGTCTCACGAGAGGAAATTGATCTGGAGTCCACGACGGTCGGCATCAATAAGACACTCAGTCATTACGTCAGTAAGCTGGTGTTTTTCACCAAGACTAATTCAGAGCAGTCGCTGAGCGGCATGACGATCATCGCGTTTCCAGGGGAACAGGTCAACGTGAGAATGTTCCAAATTTGGAAGTACATCTACGAGCATCACGGCAGCGACTACGATTGGTTCCTGGTCATTCAGGATGACACGTACATCTACGGGGACGTCTTTATGGAATTCCTGGGCCACATGAGTGTCGGGAGGGACCTGTATATGGGAATTCCGATTCACGAAGCCGAGATGGATGTCACGTTTTGTAGCAGGGATGCAGGTCCGTCAACAGGAAACTTGACATCACTTACAAACACGAGAGGGGCGTGGCTTGATTGCTCTTAGTATAAGCGGGAGGGTTGGCAGGGTTTGAAATTAGCGGTAGCCCGCTAGTCAAAACAGCGGCGGGCTAGTCAAACTATTCCTTAAGTAGCCCGGCTGGCGAGTCAAAAAATTATTGAGATACGGCAAAGATGGAAGGATAGGAAAAAAAAAAAAACATGTGGCAAATGAAAATGCCCGCAGGCTAGTTAACAGTCTGTTTCAGTAGCCCGGCTGGCTAGTGAACAAAAAAGTTAAGGTCGAACCCTGGGTTGGGCAAAGTCTTCAAAGGTGGAGTTGCTGCTAAATGGGTTAGAGGGGAGATTTTTTAGAAGAGAAATAGAGTTTTGAAAGTGGCAGGATCATATATATATCCCACCCTTTCAGGATTCTACTGAATTCACCAGACCAATTTTTGTGTGACCATTTTGGAGGATTGAGGTACAGCCTTGCCGAATTTTCTTTAATGTGGGGTTTTATGGTTTTTGTTACATATTTACAGGCATGCAACTTTTCCTCAGATCAGCTGATTTCTTCTTTTTTTAACTTCCCATGTGTGCCATTAAAAATAGAAAAACACTGTACAAAGTCTTGGAAAGATTTGAATTTCCTCTTTGTGTGTGACTTCCCAGTTGCATGCCTGTATTTAGGATTCAGAATGGTTCTTTACCAAAAAAACTGACACAACAAATAAATCACCAAAGAACAGAAAATTTATAGCAGCAAAATATCCCAAATTCTGGCAACTTTTGGTGCTGAAATAGCTGTAACATTAAATTTTTTGCCCTCTGCCTAAAATGACATCACACTTTTGCTCATGAATATGGTTAGCATAAAAACCAAAAAGGCACCCAAATACCCTTGAAAATGGCAAAATGAAAATTGAAAATGAGGTAGGTGAATTTTCAAGGATTGCCTTACAAAATTACATTGTATGGGCCCTTTAGACTATTGAGGACCATTTGTTGCAATGGACTCTCCAAAAATCACTTGATGCCTGCATCACAAATGACCTTGTGTCCTATAGCAAGACACTTTATCAACATAAACTGGTGTGTCTGTTGTATATTTCAGGTTACATGCTCTCCAGGAACCTTCTGGCCAAGGTGGGGCCGTACTGGGAGGACTGCATGCGTAAATCTTGGAACAATGTCCCGGACCTAGAGTTTGGACGGTGCATACAAGAGCACTCCAATTCACACTGCTCCACCAATTATGAGGTGATTAACCCTAACCTTCCCCAAATCCTCCAAAATCCTCTTTGCCAAATGAAGGATTTGAGGCTATATGGCAAAAAAATGTGTGGCTGATTTTGGAGGATGCACTGTGTCAAGGTCTTAGCCTTTAGGCCGGACCTTGTGTTGTGTATGCTCAGCCGTGCTTAAATTTAGGCATAGACTATACTTGAAATCCTCCGCACTGCTCCAGGATGTCACTGGCTCTGCCTCAACATATTGACAGAGATTGATTTTGCAGGATTAAGGTAGTGGTCAACCTTCCAAGGACCACATTCAAGAAATAATGGGAGATTTTGGATGATTGAGGTTGTATGCAATTTTGACATGGAGGCAGTTGAAGGATTTTGCAGGATTGAGGTTGCATCCTAGCAGAAATGCCTAGGGAATTAGGGTTAAGTTTAATTCAAAAGTCCACTTCACCACTCGAATTCCAATTAATTCAAATATTAATTCCAATTTATTCAAGGCTTCACATTCAGTGTCACATGCATATGTCCCACAATCTGAAACAGACCCATGCCTATCTCTCCTTAGTCAAATTCTGACCTTTCTTCTATCATATTCCAGGGTTCAACATTTTACGCCTACGATTTTGAAGACAAGGTTCTGACTGACAAGGAAAAGAACGATGCTGATTTCCAGCAAGCCTTGGCGATACATCACGTGATGGACACGCGCACCATGTACAAGCTCCACAAGTATTTCTCCGAGCGATCTCTGAGTCAGACTCTTAAACAGATTGCTGAGCTCCAGCAAAACATCGAAGAAATCAGCGCGTACGCACCGGGCGGTAAATCCAAACTAACATGGCCAGTGGGAGTGAAGAGCCCCTTTAAAACGACGTCGCGATTCGACGTGATGGGTTGGGAATACTTCTCTATGACACACTTGTACGGCTTGGACGATTACGAACCCAAGTCCCCCCTGATTGGTGCAAACAAGCAGGACATTGACGAGATACTCACTACGACAATGGCGCGCTTGAACGAGCTCCATGGGAACATCTACATGCTCGGCCGACTCGTGAATGGGTACCGGCGATTTGACCCCAACCGTGGGATGGAGTACACCCTTGATATGGAGCTCAAGCTTCACGGCGACAAGCGGGAAATTCTCAAGCGAGTCCACTTACTCAGACCCCTCAACAAGGTTGAGATTGTCTTCATGCCTTACGTCACTGAGTACACTCAAGTCACGATCATCGTTCCCGTGGTATCTGGTAGCCAGGAGCAGGTCCGAGTCTTCCTTGACAACTACGCCAGAATCTGTCTGGAGACTCGCGACAAATCGGCCGTCATGCTGATCTTCGTTTACACGCCAACGGAGGCGATGACGATGGCCACCGAAGATATCTACAGCGCGAATAAAGGCTACGTCTCCTACCTGGAGCGTAAGTACCCCGGCTCCCATCTGTCCTGGATCAGTGTCAAGACGAGCCTTCCCTCACCCATCGCCATCATGGACGTTGTCTCCAAGAAGTTTGCTTCGGACACCCTCTTCCTCTTCACCAACGCCAACATGGAGATAGCTGCGGAGTTCCTGAACCGTGTCCGCATGAACACCATCGCTGGATGGCAGGTCTTTTTCCCAATTCCCTTCTCCCAGTACGACCCTAAAATCATCTACGCTGATTTGCCAAACCCCAACCGCATAGACATTTCCAAAACCGCTGGTCACTTTGACACCTACCTTTTCGAGCACGCCAGCTTCTACAACTCGGACTACATGAACGCCAGGAAACTCTGGGACGAGAAGCACCCGGGAAGCGAAACTGACCACATCCAGTCAGATCTGGACCTCTTTGAGATGTTTCTGAGTACCAAACTGCACACCTTCCGAGCCGTGGACCCCGCCCTGAAGCTGCACTACCACCAACGGATTTGCCAACCCTCTCTTAAGGAGGAGCAGTACCAGAGATGCTTGGAAGGCCGGGCGGTGGGCCTTGCCTCTAAAGCCCAGCTCGCAATGCTGGTCCTAGAACAACAGCAAAAACTAGCTGCTGAGAAAGGAAATATCTGAAGCAAACGCAGCTCGATATTCTTTTATCTGGTTTTAGATTTCACATGCATCATTTGAAGCTTTTCTTTGGTATTGCCAATGTATGGTGCTGGCCAGGGTCCATCTTCATAGAAAACAATAATGCAAACGTGAGCAGAAAGTTATAATATAGGCCTATGCTGGTGCGAGTACCACTTTCTGCAAGCACAGATTCTTTTGCTAAAAAAGTTGTGTACTTACAAGTGCCTCACTTCACTAAGGCCCTAGACAGTGAGGTAGCAAGGTCATTTTGATTGAGGGGGGGAGGGGGGAATTATCTCCATATGGGGTTTCTTTTGAAAGCCGACGATCATGGGCACTATTGGACAATAGGTGGCGTTATTCAGAGCGGTGTTAAAAAAAAAAGGGCACGCGTTAAAAAAGGGCATTTGTGGAAAAAAGAGTACTTGTGAAAACAATATTGTGGGGGGAGGGGGAAATAGCCGTTATCCCCATGGTGGCTACACCACTGCTACAATGTTTTTCATTTACATTGACTTGACATGTCAATACCTAAAGTCAGACTTGCAATCTGGGATTTCTTGGACAATTTACAGAGGTTGGCTAATGTTGCCATGTTTTTGGATATTTTTTTGGGTAGTCTTGGGAACTACAGGGTTACAATTGTGCAGCTGCCAATTTTTTTGGCCTGAATACATTGCTGAGGCTGGACCAAAAGAGGCTTGCAAACAAATAAGTCTGGTGCTTTTAAGGTGGCGATCCACATGATGTTAATAGCTAGTATGTCCTTAGGGAACGGGACAAGAAGTAATTTTTGAAATATTCTGCTGCAGGTAGTGTATGTGTTTTTTGTTTTGTTTACATATTGTATATTATATGTAAGATCTTTTTGAAGGAAGTTATTGCAATAAATACAATATCACTCGTCAGTAATCAAAATTTCCTGAAAACATGAATTCTTCAGAACCAGCCAGAACAGTTGTAAAGTTGAACTATGCCCTGAAGTAAACATTCCTTTTTGGGGAATTGTATTAATTCACACAATGTACAAATTAACTTGCATTTTTGATATTTCAAATATTATTTACATTGAAGTACACGTAGTACATTTTTCATTGAGCAAGAGTGGATCGATGGACAAGCAATACTTTGATATCTTAAATAATGACAATATTAAAATGTGATATTTGTTTTTGGACAAAAATATAATGATTGTTTAAATGAAAACTAGGGATGAAAAATCATGAATTATAATTGAATTTTTTCAATTTTTTGCCATACTTGTGCCAACGACTAAAATCAAGTTGTCTCCCACGAGATCAAGATTTTAAGTAATTAAATCAAGATATTCAAATTAATTAAATTAATTAGATCAATTAATTATTCTCAGAAGATAGAGTACTTCAAATATCATGTGAAAATAATGATTGTTAAATAATGATACCTTTGTGTACAATAACGCATGTAAAAGATGGCTTACAATTTTCATATAAGAGCAGGGTTTTTATTCTTTCATTGAAGGAATTTTTGGCTACCTTATGCAAATTAACATTTAATTTTTTGTTTTAAGTATTACTGCCGTACACGGTACAGTGGTACACATGTAGCAATATTTTCATGTATTTAAACTAAACAAAAATACAAATACATGTATCTTTGTTTTGGCGCATTTTTTTTATGTTTCGATTTGAGGAGGAAAAAGGAATAAATAACTTATTCGCTTCCAAGTGTGTGTACATGTATGTCTCTAGCTTTCTTTAGTAAGTTTTTAGATTTTTGTGTGCCACGTTGAGGGCAAAACGTTGTTGAGAAATTTAAAAGGCACTTGAATGCTGTACAAACGGTAGATATTAAGAAAGTGGGAAAATACTTCTCCAAAAAATTCGGCATGGTGTGTCACCTAGGAAATTGGCCTAAGATTTTTCTGATCTGTGGTGATTGGTTGATTCGAAATGAGGTACCTGTTGCGACTGTTGGTTGCACCCAAGTAAATAGGCCAAAAATCCGTCCACCAAGCTCATGAATAAAAGTTATACACTCAAATCCTTCTATATTAGAGAGTTCTGAGAGCCATGAAATTGGGAAATTGAAGAGATATGGCAATACCCCTGGCCCGGACCTGGGGCTTCCAACTCGTTTAAGGGGTCGTCTTTGGGTGAGAATTTCTTGAAAAGTCATCGGTCAACCCAATAAAAATTGAATGTTGATAATCATTTTTCTGTTCCGCCTGAAGACCTGTGAGAGTCTTGAGTATTTTTAAAACGAATGTTGAAGTATGGGTATTTATCACTGTTGTCTATGGGAATTTATTTGATTGGGAGCATCTTAAAGTAGCCCTTTCACTGTTGGGCAATAAATGACCACAAGAGGGCGCCAACCGAAGTGAACAGTCCACTGGTAATCGGCGGTTTTCAAATGCAACAACGCGGCATTGTACGCCTGGCGCGGTCACAGTACCAGCGCAGCAGCGGGCATTTCAAAGCTAAAGGAAGGGCGAGCAGGTTGTCAAAAATGGATCAAAATAACGAGATGGAGGAGAATTCAGCCAAAAGTGACGGTGCTTTCTCCGCCTGTGCTTGTTCGAGTATAATGGAGAAGCAGAAAAGGTTGGGGACATGATTAACAAATTACGCCTCCGTAAATGAGTATGAAAGTTGCCGTCAGGACTCGGTTCACGATTGAAAAATATGCATGCCTTTTTTAGCTTTCAAATTCAAGTTCACTGAGTTTGTGCCTATACTTTTTATGTCCTCTTTGGTTCGTGTCAGGGTTTTGTGTGATCTGAAAGACAAGGCTAACATTCTGCCTAAGAAAGTCAAGACAGAAGATGCCTCACTGGATACTGAACACCTGCATGATTTCAAGGTTGAGTGCCAGCAAGTTGTGGTAAGAAATAGGAAGCAATTATTTTTTACATAGTTTTATTCATTTAAATAAGGCAGTGTATATTTTGCCGGAGACGGCAAACCTTTAGTAAACGTTAGTTTGCCGGATATGCACTGAACATGCGCAGTTACTGTTTTTTTGTACTTAAACATTTTCCGGTGACAAATTTTAGTCTGGCTCCATGCCAAAATTATCGTTGTAACCTCGTATTCACAAGATGGGATCCAGACCATTTCATAATTTCGGACTATAGCCTATTTCCCTTTTAAAAAAAATCCTCCAGAGCCACAAATCTGAAAAAGAAAATGTAATACTCTGCAAAAAAATGTTTGAGACATGTTAAAATAATAAAAGAAGAATATTCTTATTTATTTGGGGATGAGAAAAAAAAACTTTAAAAATGTGGTGTGGTCGGAATCGAACCCGAGTCATCCCGCTTACTAGAGCCTTTGCTTAACCACTACACCAAACCTGCTACACAACTTTTGGTGGGAATTTAATACATCTTATTATTCAGCCCTATCTTAAAGAGTACAGCGCCCTCTGTTGATATGGATTGCCGCCGGCAAACCTTTAGTAAACGTTAGTTTGCCGTCATTACCTCCGGCAAAATATCCACTATCTTTAAAAAATTTTAAGGACTTGTTTTATTTCTTTAAAGTTTTACATAGCTATGAGTTATTAACATTGTTTTTAGTGTGTCCTATTTAATCGGTTGAAGAGCCCCTCAACAGAACCCCTCAACAGAAACATGTTTCTTTTGAGTAATCCAGCGGGAGCTGGTTAAATAATGTGTTGTGTATGTTTTGTCTAAAATGGTGTATTTTTGTGTATTTTGATGTCATTGTTTGCTGTATAAACAAATGTAGGCCTATCCCGAAAAATGAAATAAATGAAATGAAATGAAACTGAGTTGCACAATCAGATACAAAAATGACAAAATGCCTAGGCCTGTTTGGTACAAATTTATTCTACTTTCTGGAGTAAGACAATGCTAGGGGGCCTAGGCCTAATTTTTTGCACTTATATGCTGCTTTTGAATGTTATCAAGATAAAACTTAAAAGGACTTGACTTTTTGTACCTTTCATCTGGGAGTTCAGTTTCTTCTAGAAAATAATATGCAATTTCTTGAGAATTTTGTTGATTCCAATTTTGTTTTGCCCCCTGGATTTTTGTGTGTGCTAGCATCTCCACAATATTGGCTCCTTTTTGAGCTAATAATGTTAAATATAAACGGCTGTGAAATCTGATGCTCATGATTTACACTTTTTAGTTTATTTTTCCCTTGTGCAGGATGAATTCAAGAAGCTGAAGTTTGCCTTTGTCCATCTTCAGGGGCACATCAAGCTGCTGGACTACTTGGCGAATGTTCCCAAGGACCAGTGGCCCTCAGTAGCATCTTGTGGTGAGACAGAAAAAAACTGGAAACTTGAGGGTCACTCAAGATAACAATAACCCTTCAATGCCCCTTCAAGATTGCTAACCCTCACCTTCCTAAATCCTTCAAAATCATCCAGGCAGTTTCGGAAGATTTTGGAGTATAACCCACCTCACTCCTCCAAAATCCTCCTGGCGGTTTTGGAGGATTCTAGAGGATTGAGGATGAATGGTGATTGAATCAAATGAGGATTCTGGAGGATTGAGGATGAATGGTGATTGAAGCACAAGAGGATTTTGGAGGATTGAGGATGAATGCATTTTGAGGCAGGACTGTCTGATGATTTTGGAGGATTTGGCATTGGTTATCCTTGATTTAAACACGAGTGCAAAAATTTGGGATGAGGATTTTGGAGGATTGACGATGAATGCATTTTGAGGCAGGACTGTCTGACAATTTTGAAAAATTTAGGCGGAGTTTAAAAATTTTGGAGGATTTTGGAGGATTGAGGATGGTTCTTAGCAAGAAGGACCTAGGAGGTTAGGGTTAAGGCAGCATGAATGGCAAAAATAGTCAGTTGATTTTGGAGTTGAATTGGATTTGAGCCCCGCCTCCATTATGCCCGCTATTATCCGCACTGCTTCTGAATGTCATAGACACTGCCTCAACCCATTAACAGTGATTGTTGGAGGATTTTAAAGGATTGAGGCAGTGGTCACACCTCAACTGAACAATTTCAAGAAATAACAGATGCTTTTGGAGGATTGAGGCTGAGTCCAATTTTGACATAATGGTAATTGGGGAATTTTGCAGGTTAACTAACTCCCTAGGGGGTGTGCAAAATCGTATTGAAATTGGAGGATTCATGACTGTTAGGGATAGCTATGGGTGGTTCCTAGCCAAAGGTTGTAGGGGTAAGAGTTGTTCAAATTTTACCAAAATAAAACAAGGAAGAAAAGAAAAAAACATATTCAAGGCAGAAACTTCAGTTTCATATCCACTTCAGCATAAAAAGTCATCAGATTTTCAGGGGGTTTGCTGTGGTTATTTTTCTGCTTTCAGTGGTTCATTGTTGTTTCAGTACATGACAGTAAGACAGTGAGAAACGTTTATGCACAAATGTTTCCAATAAGCAGAATTTTGGGTTTTACAATTTGAACAGAAAAACCATAATCTGAAGAGCGTGTTCCAAAAGTGACATCACAGCAACAGCGACCTCAGTTGTCAGAAAAAGTGTGAAACATTTTGAAATGTCGGAAAAAGTGCACTTTACAAAGATTTTTACCAAAAAGGGATGTCTCATAGTTTGTAGACATTTCAGAGGAAAGGATATTTGCTACCGTTCAAACATGATGCTAATTTATACAGTTATTTTTGTTATGCTGATTCAATACGTTTTCACAACTGAATGCATTCATGTTGCAAGTAAAAACAAAGAACCTTTCAAAAAACTGATCTTTTTTCTGTAGATGAAGAATCTAAGAAGATTCGTCGACAGCTCAAAGACGCCAAGGGAGAGGCTAGTGATCTTGAAGAACATCTTCAGAACATGATGAAGTCAGTGCAGAACTGTAAGTTCTCTCAACAAGATTGTTATGGAAAAGCAAGATAGTTATAACAATGAAAAAGCATGCACATTTTATGGATCATATTCACTATGAATATTAATGTGTAAATACTAAATGCTATTTTTTTTCTTCAGGTTTCCCCCCCGATTTTTCATTATTCCCAAACACCACCAAACTTGTTTTTGCAACACAGCTAAAGACTTGAATCTGTTCCGTTCTCCAAAGCAAATACTAACTCGTAGCGTAACGTCTATTCCTAACGTACTTAGTAAGGAGCTGGTTGATTACAAATTTGAGATTAAGGAACTCCGTACTTTTAAATTTCTGTACAAATCAGCGAAATACTTGATTTGTTGACCAGAAATATGAGGGCTTCACTAAATTTTCTTGCGATCGCTTCTTTCCACCAATTTGTAATACATTCATAGGTCAAGAAATGCTGGACACAAAACTGGCGTCAATCACGAAGATGATGGAGAAAGTCGAAGGTGTAGCTACTCAGGTCAAGGAGAACACGAAAGGGAGGGGCGGGGCAGTAGAGGAACTAGAAGGCGGTGGGGTGACGCTGGAAAACTTCCAAGATGAGAATGCCAAACAGGTCAGCGTTCGAGAGTGTATAGATGTATCCGGCAACTCGGCGAGTTATTATTGGAGTGCCGTGGCCTTGTGGTCTAGAGTACTGAATTTGTGGTCTGCCAATAATTCTGCAGGTTGTGGGTTCGAGTCCAGTCTGGGGTTATGGTGCGTGCGCCCTTGGTGGGCAAGGCACTTTGCCACTCATTGCTTCTCCCCGCCAGGAGTGAATGGGTACCTGTGAGGGCAGAGATGGTTATTGTGATTGATTTTTAGCTGCCTCGCGCTGAAATGGCTACATCGACCTGTATACTCCCCAGGGAGCTGAGATGGTATATTGTCCCTTCTTTATAGTATACTGGCTAACACAATTTGGTTTTTATTTGAAACAGAGTAAGTTACAAATCAGAACAAAAACTCCCTATTTCATGTGGACTTCTATGGACTTCATCAGACAAGCATGCCATGGTGATCTGTATGGTGATTTAAAGATAACCTTTGTTTTCGTGTACACAAATCCAGGCTACACAATTGGAAGATATTATTTAGGTGGCACGATCCTTGAGAAAAACTTGAAAAAAAATCTGAACACAGAAGTGTTGAAAATAGTGTTGAATATACTTAGATGTAGATTGAAAATCGATTCTATTGATCTAAGTTTCTAACTAATGGGACTTGTTTCTCTTCGCCTCTGTGCTACATGTAGATTTTTGACTTAAAGGCGGCAGAAGAGTTCTTGGCCCGCTATCAACCCGCGATGAAACGCCTCAAAGAGAGCACAGAAGCAATCCGCAAGAACCAACAGTCGGCGTTGGATGAAAATAAGACAGTTATGGAGATGGTGTCACAACTTATGGCCAAGAAACTAGACAGGGAACAGCAAGCTTCCGACAAGATGAAGTGGTGAGTTATGATGTCTAGACTTTACGTTCCTCAAATTTTCAGAAATGGATGGATTTGGAGGCTAGTATTTGATAGCAAATATTGTTACACCGACCTGTTTAAGGTTTTGTGTTCATAGATGCTGGAAAAACCAAGAACAAATGCTGTTGTTGTAGTGTGGCTCCTTGACCCTACTTCAGACGAAATGTAGCAAGTTATATACGTCAAGGTCAGGGAACCAGACTAGCTGGCTTGCACCCGTTCAATGAAGTGTAACCGATTGCAATAAAAATGTGGACTGACTAAATTTGGTGAATTGGAGGCAGTATTTGGGAATTATCAGTTTTTTCCAACGATGCTCGGCTGACCATCATTGGAAATTGATGTATAAATTCCACTTTTCTTGAAATGACAGCACACCAGGTGCCATGATTTCACAGGAAGTCTGAGACTATTATTCTCTCACAGTCAAGTAAGGTATTTCATAATAATTGAGTAGTTTCGCTTTTTGATGCTTCCAAATGTTGTATACTACCTTTAAGCACAGCAAAATAGTTGCTCAGCGAAAAGAAGCGATTGCCCAAGACTCTGCGTATTACTTATGAATGGTGCTCCATTTGATTTGTGCTCGGCACAAAAATGTGTTAACCACAATTCTACTTATAAATACACAAATCCAGCACGTGATCACTGTACACTCACGCGGCCCCCTTCAATGGAGAAACCATTGTGCATGCTATTGTACAAAGCAACTGCCCCTGATGGATTATTTTGAACAACAGCTAGCACGATGCTTTCGCCATTGACGGGGGCCTCTGTGATAGAGGTGATAGCATGCCTGAATTGGTCCACAGCATTTCAGTGAATAAAAAATACATGATGTGTGTACCAAAACTAAAAAGTGGAAATTTTCAGCCATGAAATAAGGCCAAAAAAAAAAGTCTCCGGTTTCTGGTATGCGCGCGCGTCGCCGTAGCCATGCGCGTCGGCAAAATGAAAAAGTATTTTTTCAATGTAAGATGATGTCTTAAAAACCGCCAAACTCACTGGTTTGACTGGAATCCTGTTGCTGCACAATTTAAAAGTGTTTTTAGATGGGGTTATGATCGAGAATAAGCTTTATGTGGCCTCTCTGGTCTCCCATAATATTTGCACTAAGTTGAGTCGGGCACCATTTGCAGTCATCAGCCGACATTTGAAGCAAAAAAAAACAGGTTAAAAAAAAAAAAAAAAGCCGCGTCGCCGCACCACTTTTTGGGCAAGCTCCATACCAGTAACCGGAGACTCTTTTTTTTTGGCCTAACGACATAGCTTTTTTTTTTTTCAATTGCGATTTCCAGGTGCGAATCTGCCTCCAAAATGTTGGCACAGCTGACCGGGGTATCAGAGCGATCTCTGGACGATAACTGCTGGATCCTGGAGCTCACTGCAGATGGATGTTCCTCAGTCAACAAGGAAAGTCTGACGGCCGTACTGACCCTTCACTTCAAGCCAGGCCCGGACCCTTGGTCACCCAGGCAGATCAGTGCCGCTTCGGTATTAGTGCCCCATTTTTTTCTTTACATCATGTGGAACCTTGGAATGTTCCTGAAATTTTCTTCTCTTTTTTTAAAGGAGAACCTCATAATAAAGACTATAAAGAATGTAACAATGGCTAGAAAAGCTGAGAGAAAAATAAAAACAAAGATGTAACGATGTCTAGAAAAGCTGAGAGAAAAAAATCTAAAGGTTGACACCAATAATTCAAATGATGAAAAAATCCCTGCAAAGAGTCAGAAAAGTACCCAGACATTAGTCGTGTCGACTCTTTACTCTGTACTTATGAAATAAGATTTAAAAAAAATGTAATTATAAAAAAGGTCACAAATCAACTTCGAGCAGAAATTGACATCTTTTATTTGTCTGTTATTGGCGCCATCGAGCTACTGTAGGCAAACTTTAACAAAGAGTAAAATAAAATGTGGATGGTCAATGGCTGTTCTTTAAACTTAAACCCTCCTTTGCAAACATGCAATGTGTGCCAAGTTGTCCTTTCAGTCAAAATCAGTCAAGTGACTGTTTTTAACAGTTAAGAGCTCCCAGCATACATAAAGCATGATTGACTGGCTGTGACTGTTTATTTAAACTTGATACCCGTATGCTTTGACTGTAGGTGATTGATAAGACAGCTGTGCTAACAAGTTGCCTGCTTTTGTCTGTTGACTGAATTTGACTTCTTAAAGTGCTTCCTGAAAATATGATCTGACTGTTGGTGACTAGCCTTTGTAAAAGGCATATGGCAGGGGAAGAGGATTGATTTTTAAACTGTCTGTGACTGTTCATACACTAACTTTAAACTTTTTATTGTCATCGTGACCAGATTGATGTTGATTCCCTGGACATGTCGGACCTCGTTGAAGAAGCAGTGAGAAAGAACGACGTTCCCTTCTTGGTATCATCAGTGATGACCAGACTGAGAACCCACGCACCCCTCTACATGGAAGTGGAACAGCTCCGACATCAGTGAGTCAATGAGATCCGCCCATTCATTCTAGGGGTGTTTGCTTGCTTCAGTTTCAATCTCCATCCGCCAAATCTGACGCCTCAATTCCAATTTCAATGGAAGCTTTTCTTTAATCTTTTGTAGCAGAGAGCGAAGTCACATGATCCGAATTTCAAAACCTAAGACTAGACTGGTACATGTCCAACTTTTAAAAAATGTTGACTATTAGTCTGGTGGCATGAATGTGTGTAAAATGTATAGAAATAAAGACAGGGTACCAGATTTTTCTTTTGCCATACCAGTCATGCAGGACAAAAGAGGTGTGTAGGACTGGTAGTTTCATGTGCAAGTCTATTTTCTTGTATTGTATGTGCCATGGTGTGTACTATCCCAAGTGAGTTTTTGGACTCTCAACACAGTACTGAGAATCAAAACCGAAAAATAAATTCCCGTTTTCCTATTTCCAGATATGCCATCGACTGGGTCCCAGAAGAGGGCATACTGAGGGTCATATTTGGGGACAGCGCCCAGATTGTTTGCACCCTGTCCTTATCAACCGGACCCCTGGGTACGACCGTTGTCCAGCTGAAATCTCTTGAGGGGGTCAGGCAACACCCGCCGCTTGACGAATTGAAGGTTAGCACAATATTATTTTTAAGCCGACTTCTTTTTTTTTCACTTTGTACACTTTCAGTCCTTTTCGTGACCTCTTATATTAGTAACTGTCACAGCATGATTTTTGTTAGCTGTCCACCAGTTTTGAAATATTGTAATAAAAAACAAGTTTTTTTTGTATTTTTTTTTTTAATAAATGTAACTTTTTGGGGACTTTATTTTTTGCAGCCACCACATGAAAAACCCAGGATCTCAGATTGGCTGGAGTACTTACAAGAAGCCACAAAAAGCTTGTAGCGATGAAGGAACTGAAACAGGAGTTTACGGAACTGCGGCTCTTTCTCCAGCTGCCTCTTCAAGAGGTTTCAGGCCCTTGATTTAAGGGACTCTGCCTGAAGGGACTCTGCCTGTGCATACAGTGTGTTTGGCGCAACCCAACTGCACTTTTTGGGAGGGGGGGGGGCTCTGTTACTTCAATGTATTTATATCCATATTTGTAAATATAAACAGTAAGCAACATGCAAAAACAGTTTAGTCTTTGTGTTAACTTAAGAATACATGCATGTATGTAAATGAATACATGCTATTATGGGAAACAAAATTGTAAATTGAAATTTAATATTTTGTTGATTTTTTTTGTCAAATTAATTTACTGTACCCCAGCAAGTTGGAAATTCTTTCTGCTTGGCTTAATATATTTATATCAAATTTTCTTTGAAAAAAGTTTTGTGTAAAAGTTTTTTTTCTAATAAAAGAAAATTAAAAATGTCTCCAAATTTGAGAGTTGTGTCGTTTTTCAATGAATTAATTTTTTTATTATGCAACTCAATGTTAGAAATAATTTCTATATTTTAACATCTTTTCTTTTTTTTCTGCCAAAAGTAGATAATGAATTTCAAGCAGATATTTTAACATCTTTTCTTTTTTTCTGCCAAAAGTAGATAATTTTTCTGCCAAAAGTAGATAATGAATTTCAAGCAGATATTTTAACATCTTTTCTTTTTTTCTGCCAAAAGTAGATAATGAATTTCAAGCAGATGAAACAGTATTGAGTAAAATTCCATGAAATAGTTTTGCCAAAAGCAAGTCTGTGACTTGAAAATAAAGAATACTTTTAGTGAAATTTAAGATTTTGTTTAAAGGTGTATAAACTGGATGAACTCTGTAAGAAAAATGTTCTTTCGAAAAAAGAAAAAAAATCATTGCCCCGTGTGAGGCTCGAACTCACGACCTTCAGATTATGAGACTGACGCGCTGCCGACTGCGCCAACGAGGCACCTGGTGAAGGGGAGAAACTTAAAGTATTCATACAATAAAATGTAATTTCTGTTGTTTGACGCATGCGTAGCGTCGTTATTATTCGCTGGTTCCCATTCAGTCGTTTGTGTTTGGTATTGCGTCTTAATAACGCGACGCACACCAGTTATTACATCTGCTGTTTGCATGCTGCTTGCGTGCGCTAGTGAAAAGAGATCGTAAACGCAAGTCAAAAAGGCATACAATTTTGGCTTTTCTCGTGGCTATTCAAGAGGATATAGCAATTTATCGGAAGTAAGGTCTGTTAAGAAGTTCAGAGTGTTGAAATTAAAATGTAGTAGTTAATGTTTTAGCATTTAATTTATCTTTTTATAGGCCCCTTGCCCAAGTTTCCACCTCTGTCATGTCTGTGTGTGGGGTACATTCTGGGTGGGGCGAGATAATCGTAGTGTTGAATAGAAAATGCGTCTCTCTTGTCAAGTCGCCCCAGTTTTTGATGATGAAAATTTCTGCGATTGTTTATTGGCAGTGTATATTTTGCCGGAGACGGCAAACCTTTAGTAAACGTTAGTTTGCCGGATATGCACTGAACATGCGCAGTGAGTTACTGTTTTTTTGTACGTAAAGTTTAAACATTTTCCGGTGACAAGTTTTAGTCTGGCTCCATGCCAAAATTATCGTTGTTAGCAGTTAGGCCCTACCTCGTATTCACAAGATGGGATTCAGACCATTTTATAATTTCGGACTTTATTTCCCTTTTAAAAAAATCCTCCAGAGCCACAAATCTGAAAAAGAAAATGTAATACTCTGCAAAAAATGTTTGAGACATGTTAAAATAATAAAAGAAGAATATTCTTATTTATTTGGGGATGAGAAAAAAACTTAAAAATGTGGTGCGGTCGGAATCGAACGTGAGTCATCCCGCCTACTAGAGCCTTTGCTTAACCATTACACCAAACGTGCTACACAACTTTTGGTGGGAATTTAATACATCTTATAATTCAGCCCTATTTTAAAGAGTACAGCGCCCTCTGTTGATATGGATTGCCGCCGGCAAACCTTTAGTAATCGTTAGTTTGCCGTCATTACCTCCGGCAAAATATCCACTATCTTGTTTATTTGGAAAGAATGTTGCATCCTGACGCCACTGTTTTCATCGTAGGCCAATATTGCAATAAAGGCCTACATTTCCAATTTTATGATTTCGAAGTGGATATCGACTATCGTTATGTCATTGCAGCCGTAACACTACAGAAACACCATTTTTCAGCTGCTGCTATGCTACTGCTAGGGCCTAAGTGCTATCGTTACGGATTGCACAATCATGAATATCGTCCATTGCGAATCTGTTTTGCATTTTACATCTTCCCACCCAACCATGACATTTTGGTAGCTTGATTGGTTACTATGGTTACACTTCATGTGCCTGGGACGCGGGTTCGAAACCACTGCTGCGCTGCTCAATTTGTTTTCTTTTTAAATTAGGCTACTTTTCCTTAATACCTTAATGAAGTTTCATGTTATAAATAAAATAATTCTTTTTATATACGTAGATTGTATTTTCTTCTTCATAATCTGTGGCTTTGGAGGATGTTTTTTAAGGGAACTAGTTCGAGATTAGGTTGAATGATTGATAATGATAGCCTGGTTCCAACAGCCAAAGATCCTGATGTTGAATATTATTACTTAGGTAAGCATGGTTAGGGAACCAGACTGCAGCTGTTGCTTGACTTAAGTAATCCTCGGTGTGTAGTGCACCCTCATGCATACTTCTTTTGAATATCCTAATTCGTAGTAAGACAGCAAAAAATCATTTTTAATTCAGGAGCCTCAGATTAAGATCGTTATTACCGGAATAAAACAATGGTTACCATTGCAGGGCACTAGTGTTTGTTGCAGGACACAACGTTTCTTGCTTTTTTTTTTTATACATGTAGTCTGTTCCAGTACTCACAGATATTCTGAACCGAAGCAGCCATGTTTCAGCGAGCAGGTTCCAAGTTCATGGGAGGAGGTGGTGGAAACTTCAGCAACGACTTTGGCTACCCGGCGGGGAACGGCGGAATGGGAGGCAACAATACAGGATTTGGAGGCGGCTTTGGCAGAGGGGGGTCGAGGGGTGGCGCAGGGTTTGGGCGTGGCTCAGGACGCGGTGCTGGAAGAGGAGTGGGAGGCATCCGAGGTGGCTCATCGAGGGGAGGAGCTACCAGAGGAGGCGGAACCAAAGGGAGTGCCACTGGATCCGGGGCGGGTTCTTCAATGACTGAGACTGCTTCTCGGTCCGAGTCGGGATATCTGCAGGATCACCCAGGCCACTTCCCTGACCAGTATTGGTGCAAGGTAAGTCAACAAATTCACTGGTTCCGCAAACTCTGCTGTAGTTCCTTCTTAAAAAACTCTTAGTCCTTTAACATTTCAAAAACCTTCAAAGCTTCCATTACTAAAATAATATAGTGTTACTGTCTGAACCCACAAGAACAGAAAGGTTTGGAAGTGTTATAGAATGTTTAATTTCTCAGTAGGGAGGTCAAATTGCAAACCTCCCAGTTCCTTTAACTTCCATGATTAGAGTTTGCAGGATTTTGTAGGAATCTTTAGGGTTGAGGAATGTGTTTTCCAGTTACTAAAAAGCCTTTGTTGAAATCCTTTTAAGTTGTTGAGTGTTCGGTGCCGAAGTTGATGATAAAGTCTTTTTTGTTCCAACCCATTCACAGATCTGCAATGCCAAAACAACAGGGGAAAACAACTACAACGCTCATTTGCGTGGCGTACGTCACAAGCAGGTATGGGCTCTTACTTGTACGAAGGACTTTCGTTTTTGATCCTGCACAAAAAAAAAATTGTGGGATATTAAGCTCGTTTGAAGACTTGTGTGGCCTCTCGGGTTATTAATATTGAAAACAAACTGCAGCTCACTTTTTTTTCCCAAGACCAAACCAAGTTCAAATGGTTAAAGAGAGATGCACTCACCAGATCTGATTGGTAACACAAAAGAGAAACCGCTACAGCAGATCACTGTGTGATTGGCTGAGTGGCGCCTTACATTAACCAATCAGGTGGCTCACTGGCAAAAGTCTGGCGCCCAGACTTGCTGGCAAGTAAGAGTGCGTGACAAACTTGTAGTTTTCGAACTGTATTCAGTGTAAGTCATGTGTAAAAAATATCATTCTTGGTGATCTGTGATTGTTCCTTGGCTGTTTTTTTGGTCTGATTTTGAAGGATTCAGTACTTCTGCACTTTTGATTTGCCAAAGTATGGCAGAATGTTAAACGCACCTATGGTGTACCAAATCCAACAAAATGTGGTACACAAGTTTGATGGATTGTGATGGAGTGAGATGCCATTGCAAAATGTGCACCAAAGAATTTTGGCGAACCCAGGTTGGCGGATTGTAGCATTTTGTATGCTACTAAACGATGTTGAGTTTTTGTAATAAGGTTGACTTTTTTTGTTGGTGGGGTCAAAGCGTGGATGTAGGGTACATCCATCTTTTTATTGCTTTTAAGGAAAAAACGATGAAATAATTCAATTTGTAGATTGATGACGATCAGAAAGTGTACTTCACTGGGGACACTTTTAAATTGTAGTCGCAGTATAGTCAGATATACATGTGCATTTCTGTCCCGTTTCATACATCTCCTGTTCTTTTACAATTCAAAATCCTGTTATTTTTCATTTGCTGAAATACTGTGGTTGAAAATCGGACTTATATTTGTGTGGTTCCCAAGTTTTATACAGGCATCTCCTACTTTTGGGTATTTTACGCGTAGTTGGGTAAATGAACCCAACTAATTTACAACTTGTAGTTCGGGAATGCTTCATTACAAAAGAAGTTGGTCATACTGCACATCTTCTGTGTAGTAGCCAACAGAATGAAGTGTATGTTTTTTTAATCAAAGAGCCATGTGACATGCAATCAGGGTTGCATTGTCACATGAATTAGTTCATGCACAAAAATTTGTGCATATTGCATATTAATTTTTCAACAAAAAAACAAAGTTTGGTCAGTAAACTTTTCGCCTGTATAGGTAATGGGAACCACAATGCTATGCTACAGTTATTAAATTTGTTCAGACTGAATTTTATCATTGCATATGCTGTATGGAGCCCGAGGAGCATTCCTTCCCCAGAGGGAGGAAGCACCTGGGCTATTCCCATTCCTAACCTGATTGTGTTTTCTCTTTTCCCCTCTGCATTTAGAATGTCATGAACCTCCAAATTGGCGGTGAGTGGAATGGGTTGCAGACTCTCGATTTTGGCCTTGACTTGTCAAAATCATGGCTGCCACCCTGGTGCCCACGAAACACACTTTAAATCTCTGTACGGAAAATAGCCATTGGACAGTAAGATAACTGGTATTTTTGCTCTCGAGAGCAGAATACCAGGTGAAACCATTTAGTATGCAAGTAGACTGGTTTGGACACCAGCTAATTCTGCCTTGGTTTTAGCTGGTAATCCAAACTTACACACGAGGCCAGTTCATTGTCTGTCGCATGGAAGTCATTCATAATAGTTTTTTTGCATGCCCACGCGATTGGTCATTCAAAGGTCAAAGGTCATTCAGCTGAACTTTGACATGGTCATTGATCCTTGGTTTAGCCAATAGGGTTGGAGGATTTGTCATGATATATGCAAATCCACTGGGTCGGGTTATTCAATAGTGTCGACAAAGCATACGTTTTGTCGTCAAAATAGCCAGTCAGTTGTGAACATCACAACAGATGTTAAAAACAAACTTACACGACTCGCGTACCTTCCTAAAAAATGATTCTCAGACAACACTTTTTAAAACCCTTTTTGCCAACGTGCGACTGACAATAAACTGGCCGACACATAACAAGTTATCTTGTTCTTCAAATGAATTGTAGAATGTATTTTCCATACAAAATTCGTGCTCACTTAGAGCACATTTTTGCTACTTTACTTGAGAATTCTTAATCCTGGGCATGTATTTGTTGTGAATGCAAGCTTGAATTTTTTCCTTCATTTTTTGGGAAAAGTATTAGGTAATTTTTTTTCCAAAAGAAATTAAGGAGACTAAAACCATTTGCTTCTTTACAGCCAATCTTTTGAATATGTTGGTTTTTGAGGATGGAAAACCATAGTGCAACTTCTTTGCTATGAAAACATTTATTTGCAGTGAATTCAACAGAATTCATACACTACAAATTATCATATGTATAATCAATACAGCCAATTAGAGACCAGAGTTTGGTCTGTAATTCGTTTCGAATGTGCTCCGTCGACGAAATAAAAACTGCCAATCGTAACACGAAATGCAAAGCCATATTCATCCAAACATCAATGAAAAACAGAAAACTTCTATGTCATTGATGTATACGCCAGGATGAATGTTATTTTTTTTTTCAATAAAAATCTGTAGTTTGAAAGAAAAAAACCTACACTTTTTAAACTGCAGGAAGTTTTGCTGGAACACTAGAAAAAGTTTTTATAAAATTAAGAAAACTTTGAAAGATTTTTTGTCTGATACTAATAGAACCATCCCCTCCCCTTCTTCGTAAACAGAGCCCCTTCAAAGGGTTGGCCCCTTGGCACAGCGCAAGCGGAAGCGAGATTCGGAGAACACGGTCAAGAAAGTGTTGTCCGAGATGTTGCCAGGAAACACCGAACCAGTTGTTGGTAAGACAGACAAACCCCTAAAACTTACGCCAAACCTTGGCGCTTCAATTGCAGTTTTGGCTTTATTAAGGGCTTTAGAATCTGAAGCATTTTATACGCTTAGCATGGATGACAGATGGCATTTAAGAGCCTGCCTAACATCTCTCATTGTTTAATCTACCTCAAACGGAACTCAACCCATCAAACCCCAATGGCATGTTTTGTTGGAATCTGTCAGGATGGGTACAGTCCCCCACGTAGTAAACTGACAGTCTTTTACATTGGGTTGGCACACCTCCAGAATCCAAGTCAAAATAGGTGTGTGCAGTTTGCCATATGGTGCTGGATTATGCCAGGATGGGTATGGTTCTTAGTAAATCATGCTAGGGGGTTAGGGTTAAGTCCGGTTCGTACTTCATGAATCGCTGCAAAATTCGGCGTGGTTGAAATGTGTTCAACTTTTGCAAATTTGCGGTGCGAACACCTGCCCTGACATCACAAGTTCGCGTTCGCTTTCGCGCCGATTATGAACCGGACTTAACTCTTGCCGTTTAGAGCGACTTGTGAATAGAATCCATTGAGGAGCTAAAACGAGGTTCATCTGAAACCCTGTCATAACCCAAATGTTAAAAATTTCTCTTGAACCAGGATTGGAGTTTGTGACGGAGATCATCCGCGAGGGAAGCGACACGGACCCAGACTACGAGTGCGAGCTGTGCGACTGCCGCACCCTACAGGGCAACATCATCTACCACTTGATTGGTTTCCGCCACCGCATGGCATACATTGTACGATTCGTTTGAATCTTAAGGTCCATTTCCTTTATTGTAATGTGCTAAGCACAGAAAATACTTGCTTAGCGGACAAACAAGTTACCAGCCAAAGCCATTGGACTAATATTGCTAACAAGTGGTTCTCTTCAGATTTGTGCTGAGCGTATAAATTTTCCAAGCAGTAGTTTCACATTATACATTCAATATACTATGCATTGGATCTGGGGCCAGAAACACTGCTCAGAAAGATGCTAGACTTTTAATATACATTTCCTAACTTTGCTAGTATTTGTAAACTTTTTCCTCTTTTTGTTGTTGATCTGTTGGGTAAAACAGAAGAAAATGAAGCCAGAATTGCATGAACAGCTCGACCAAATGGCCAAGATGGCAGCAGAAAACGACGTGTCCAAGGCGGGCGAGTCTGGTGACCCGACTCCTGAGGAGAAGGAGGCCAGCAAGAAGAGAGCTACCCGCACCCGGCTCAGCGAGAAGCTGAGGGAGATCATGCCGGACCTGGCCGCAGAATGCCGCGGTCTCAAGCACAAAGTCAAGAGAGTTAAAGGAGAAAATATGGGCGTACCAGGTAAAATTTATTGCCTTTGTCTTGCGAAATGTTTTTCTTTGGCCATTGGAGTATGCAAGTCTTGTGATTAGCGTTGTAGTCGAGTCTGTCACCAGCCATCACAAGCCCTTTAACAATTCAGATTATAAGTAACAAAGGAATCCTTGGAATAGTTTTTGACTTGGGATTCAGTTACTTGTGATGGATGTACAACGACTAATGACACTTTTGACTACAGAAGCGCTTACAATTTTAATTCACAAACAAAAAGAATTGTAGAGATTATAAATTTTGTAGCCAAACCATTTGTAGATGTGGTTTGAACGAGATATTTCTTGGGCTTGATACTACTTTCTATATTCTTCTTTCACCCTCGTAGTTCCAAAGAAGCCATTCTCAATGCAGGGCGGTCCTGGAGGTCGCGGTGGTGTTGCAGGAGGTCGCGGTGGTGCTGCCGGAGGTCGCGGTGGTGGTGGTTTTGGAGGTCGTGGTGGTGCATTTGGAGGTCGCGGTGGTGTAGCTGGAGGTCGTGGTGGTGCATTTGGAGGTCGCGGTGGTGGTGCTCCTGGGGGCTTTGGCGGTGCAGCTGCAGGTCGCAATGGTGCCGCCAGGGGTCGCGGTGGTGCAGCCAGAGGTCGCGGTGGTCCTAATGCTGGCCGAGGTGGATTTGGCGGCCCAGGCAGTTATGGTGGGCCGGGTAGCTTTGGTGGGCCTAGTAGCTTTGATGGGCCAGGTAGTTTCGATGGGCCGGGTAGATTCAGTGACCTTGTCAACGTCATAGGTCCCATCGGGGGCCTTGGTGGTGAGGGCCTCTGTGGTGGGGGCCTCGGTGGTGGGGGCCTCGGTGGAGGTCGCCTCAGTGGAGGTCTCAATGGAGGAGACAGGGGTCAGTTTGGAGGTTCGAGTCTTGACAGTGGAGGCCTGGGCAGAGGTAAGCATCACGAACATCTGAAGTAAAACTTGGAAACCGATTCGTTCAATATCCGAGCTTACCTTTGGTTTTGGAGAAAGAGTCTGAATTTTTACCTTTGGGAACTTTGCAGGATCAATGTTTGAATCATTTATATTAACAACTCTGTCTCTGATAAACATTATAAAAGATTGTTAAAAGCACCAAGCGCACTGCAGCTTGCTAGCCTGATGAAGTGTTTAAGGCAGTTTCAAGTGGAAGGAAACTTCAGATAAATTTCGTTCAATATCCGAGCTTACCTTTGGTTTTGGAGAGAGAGTCTGAATTTTTACCTTTGGGAACTTTGCAGGATCAATGTTTGAATAATTTATATTAGCAACTCTGTCTCTGATAAACATGATCAAAGATTGTTAAAAGCACCAAGCGCACTGCAGCTTGCAAGCCTGAAGAAGTGTTTAAAGGCAGTTTCAAGTGGAAGTAAACTTCAGATAAATTTCTGGGTAACCCTCAGGTAACCAAATCTGCGAGTCAAGTTGGGTGGGATTGGAATCCTGGTCACAGAGGTAGAAGTTGAGGGAAGTATTACTCCTCCAACCTGCCTCTCCTAGTCTCCAAACTCCAGATTTTTTTTAGTTTCTTCCCATTTCACATCCAAAAATCATTTGTTAATTTCCTTATTCCATCATTGTGACTTCTGCTTTAATCTTCTTTTCAAGGATTTGGGCGGGGTGCCCTTGCTAGGGGCAACGGAGGTTTTGACGACGGCTTAAGCATGAGAGACCGCGGACGTGGGCTCGGTGCCTACGAAGAGAGAAGTGACCTAGGGGGCGGATATGACCTTCCCCCGCCCTCCAGAAGGGAAGAAATTGAGAGTATTAAGAGGTGAGGTGTTAAGACTCGAATTGATTTCCCATGATATGGTGGTACCGTGCTCCAATTCTACTGTGAACTTTGAGAGTTGTGTAGGATACCGGTCATGACTGGCTCCTTCAAAACGAGGAATATGTTGAATAAAAAAAAACCCTCCAAACAAGTTATGATTTTTGTTTTGGTGTATTTTATTTCCAGTGAGATCCTTGATTCGTTGACCAGCAATTCGGCTATGAGCGACGCATTCATCTTGAAGGAGTTCGAGCGTCGCTTTGGCTCGGCTAAGAAACTCCAGCGGAGCGATATGTACGACGATTACGACCGTGGCCAAGACCTGGGCCAAGACCGTTCCAGATTCAGAGATACGATCGTGAGTCGTAGTCACTGTGTCTTTATCACCATGTCATTTGAATGGACTCTGGGCATGTGCAGTAGAAAGCGCCCTCACAGGAACGCAAAGTGTGAGGGGTACACTGCTAGCATGTGCTGGTTCGTGCATGTATGGCGCAAAACATTCAAGTACAAAATCTCCAATGCCTGGCATTTTTTGCATAGGTTCTGGGCACACAACTGTCACGTCACAGCTGGGGTCCATACTTGTGCCCGGGGTGGTCCCTAAACCTGAACTCTAACTCCCTAGCATGATTTACTGCGAACCACACCCATCCTGGCAAATTCCAACACCATATGAAAAACTGCACACACGTATTTCTGACTTTGATTCTGGAGGTGTTCCAGCCCAGTGCAAAAGGCTGTCAGTTTAGGGGTACTGTACCCATCCTGACAAATTCCAACAAAACATGCTGTTGGGTTTGATGGGTTGAGTTCTGTGTTGGTTAATCATTTTCTTATTTTTTCTAAAGCCCTCCAAACGGTGCTAGTTCAAAATCGTCCAGAATGTTTTTTCAAACTGCCCTGCAACATGTGGGCCATCTGAATTGGCTAAGTCAATACAAACACTGTGTTGTATTGATATTTACAATGTATATCAATAACCATATTTATCTTTAACTAACTTCTTTGAGGGTGTTTATTTGGAACATGGGAGAGAGTGTTCTGTGATCTGCTGACCGATTACATGTTGGTCAAAACTAATTTGTTCCTTTACAATGACGTGATTTATTTGTTTTTTAGAAACATGATGGTTTTTGGGCATCAGTGAACTTTGACAATTATCAAAGTGCCCACGTGGGATCTTTACAACACAAATGTTCACGTTTTTAGTGATAATTTGTATATTACTAATACCCCAGAACATCATTTGATGTTTGGACATGGGGTGTGTTCTGAAAACCCATTCAGAATGTGTGTTTTTTTGTTTTCACGTTTGGTGATAACGTGAATCTTATGTCTTGAGATCAACCAAATTTGTTATTTTGCTTCAAAACATCTTTGGATGTTTTGAGAAGAATAAACAGTCGTTGGTAAATTGACACGTTGAAATACATATCACTTTTCACATTTGATGATAATGTGAAAACTTTATGTATAAATTTGCCATATCTGAGATTAACAAATTTTACTCTTTTTTTGTCTTGAAACATCTATGGATGTTTCGAGAAGACAATATTGATGGTTGGTACATTCGTAAATGTACTTTAATACAAAAAACAAACTTTTAGTAATTTGACATAAAATTACTGTTTGATTTTCTATATTTTATAGTATTGCTGTAATGTTCTTGAGCAATTTTGGGTGCACACCACCATATCATTGTTCACAGTTCGTTACACTTTTGAACTCGGGTCAAAAAAATGTGGTGTGTGCCACCACTGTGACCTTTGTCATCTCAGTGGTCCCCTGCATTTGGTTTACCACTGTCTTACAATGAACAAGGCTGTTGGTAACCAGTGATGTTACCAACGGGTTCTAACGGTTGAAACAAACGTTCAAGCTTGTCTTTGAACTGAAAACTCGTCTCAACAGAAAGAACTAGAAAACGCATCAAAAACAATGGAACAACAAACTCCAGAAATGTAATTAAAGTATCACTCTGTCCTACCACCATTCCAAGTCTTAACCTGGAGTTACTATAGCAACCACAGAAGAACAATAACGAGCATTGTTCTTTCCATCATGCGACACACGCTGTACAGTATTTGGGTTTCCGGAGTCAGATGAAACTATGAATTCTAAACCATTCAAAAAGGTGAGACTCTTTTTTTTCCCCTGCAGATAGAAATGTCTGTTTTTTGTGTGTGTGCTGTTTAATTTTAAAATTATTACTTGTATGCAACAAGGATCAAGTCACTTAAACAACTGATTCGGATGTAACTTATTTTGATGATGTTTGAATTATATACAGTGAATTCTCGATAAGTCAAACTCTGTTAACTCAAAACAACTGTTAAGTCAAACAAAGAATCTATTCCCTTCAGTAGTATAACAATGATACACAACCGTGCTTAACTCAAAACTCTGCTGAAGTCAAATTTTGAAACCGTTCCCTTGAGGTTTGACTTATCGAGATTTCACTGTAATGTGAAACAATCAACTGATGAAAGTACAGGGCTAACACAAGTTGAACCAAAAAAACACACACAAAATATCATTTTTCATGAAAGCAATTTTACAGTACTACATTTAACAAATTTATTTGTTCAATAATCTTCTGTGTCTGGTTTTTCCTGAATAGTTTGGTCTTTAAATTTTGAAAGATGTTATCGAAATTTGTGGGGTTTGCTCAGTTGAATTATTCAGCATTAAGCTGTAGGTAGTAAATGTGAAGTGGGGTTAGTACAATAAAGTCCATTATCAACAAAATTTACTTCTTTTTTTTTAGGGGGAAGAACAGGAGCAAGGTGGATTTCAACGATTGCACAGCTCTCAAGATTTCGACAGCCCCAGCACTCAGGTATCAAAAAAATAAAGTTTGCAGAATAATTGTGAAATGAAGTCTAGAATTTTAATGAGAGACCACGACCAAAATTTAAGAATCTTAACTTTTCTGAGTAAATACGAATTTTGGAATTTTATGAAATTGAATGGCTACTGAACATTTGGGTGATTTATATGCAAATGAGGACTTCTTCCTGATGTTTGCTGCACATGATTTAAAACGGTTGAACATGAAAGTATTGTTATTTATCACAAACTATTAGTTCTTGTCTCGGAAGTATAATAGGTCACACTGAAGTTGTAATCACGTCCTTCAAGTCAAGCACAAGCCTATCACCAGGCAATCACAAATTTATCTCAAGTCTATCACAAGCCAATCACAAGTCCATCACAAGTCCATCACAAGTCAATCACAAGTCCATCACAAGCCAATCACAAGTCCATCACAAGCCATCACAAGTCAATCACAAGTCCATCACAAGCCAATCACAAGTCAATCACAAGTCCATCACAAGCCAATCACAAGTCAATCACAAGCTAATCACAAGTCAATCACAAGCCAATCACAAGCCAATCACAAGTCAATCACAAGCTAATCACAAGTCAATCACAAGTCAATCACAAGCTAATCACAAGTCCACCACAAGCCAATGACCAGTCCATCACAAGCCCATCACAAGTCCTTCAGTCTCAAGTCAAGTCATTATCTTTACAGCTTTCCTTCGTCATAGCACTCTCCCTGTGACTTGTGGTTCAACTTGTGACGTGACTGTTGATGGACGTGACTACAACTCTTGATCACAAAAAAAATATTTGGTGACCATTAAGTTTGTTTTTCCGACTTCGTTTAGCCTTTCTCAGACTCAAGCTCCCAGCCAAGAATGACGGTCAGTCTGGATCAGCTAAGCCGCCTGGACCCGACCCCCAAACCCCCCACCGGCCTGAGGAGTTGCCTCAAGAAACCATCGTCCTCATCAACGACAACATCAGCAAGCACATCAATGAGTTACAACATGGGAGGCCAGTCAAGCATGGCCACCGGTAGCTCTAAAGCCGTTCAGGAAATGTTTGCCAATTTGGTCAGTTTTTGTTTTTCTTTCAAATTCCTTTATTGTTTCTCTTCCTGGCTTTTGAACTTTGTGTAGGAACGGGAGTTGGTGCTGTGTGGTCACCACTCGGGAAACTTTTCCTCGGAGCGGCTGATTTTCTAATTTTTCACGTCACAGTTATGCGATTAAAAATTAAAAAACGCTGATTTTTTTTTTCTTGCAATAGCCCCCTTGAACATACACACAAAAAGTTGATGGAAAATATCAATTCTAATAATTTTGAGGCTAGAGGCCTTACTCAAGACAACTCTTTATTTGCATTTGTTGTCCTCACCAGGTGTCAATTAAGTTTATGTCTGCATTTGTAGGCAGGAGGTTGCGGCCTTTACTCCTAGCATAGCAAGCTTGTAATTTTTTTCTCAAAGTCTCAGACGGCGACGAGTATTAAGTGCCAATAAATTTCTATCAATGAAGGATGAACTCGTTGTTTTTTTACTTCATTATTTTCTGAGCTGCGTAGCCATTCAAGCAGACTACATTTTGTGTATTTATATTGGCCACTAAGATGATTTCTTGTATTTTTACCAGATATTTCTTTTTCTTGTGTTTAGTCTCAGTCCATGATCACCAACGAAACCGACGCCCATCTTGCCAAGCAAGTAACGGACACATTGTCTCAAGCCTTGAAAATGTATGAATCTAAGCAAGGAGGAGACGTGAGTATAAAGGCATGGCATTCAAGGCTTTGGAAGTTCTTTGGTTCGGAAATCAGGATTCGAAATTGTTTGAACAAGCTGAAAAGTTTGGTATTTGATTTGAAATATTTGAAATATATATTGTTTTATTTGCATCCTTTCTAACAATGCAAATACAGAAACAGTATTTTCTGAAAGTAGTCTTTAATAGTTTTGTTTCAACCAGTTTTATTCATTATTTTTCGCACCCTCCCCCCCACCCCACATTTCCAAAGTTGGAAATGACAAACATTTTTAACTCAGTAAAGCCTTTCCTTTCATATACTTAAGAATCATTTACATTGGTGTTATATTTTCGATATAAGTTTACAGGTTTTTACAATTGTTTTTAAATCCTATTCAGAACTTTTTATTATATCATTGTTCATGAATTCCTTTGGCTGTTGTGGTTATTTTAATATATTTTGTCTTACAACTTTTATTGAATGTAAAATCATAATAAACTTCACCACTTTCTTTTTGTCGTATTTTAGTGTCCTTATTTTTTATCAAGTCCCCGTTTTTTGTTGTTGTAAATTTAGAGCAGCTGTTAAAACCCAAGCCCTTTTGGGTTTTCTCTGAAACACAACGTGGAATTAAAATAGAATCCAGTTGTTTCTGGTGGAACAAAACGTCTTTTGTTCACAGCAGTGATTCACATTGATTGATATTGTAAGGTTAAGGATTTAAATCGAGATAAAATAATGTACAGTGACTGTACTGAATATTTTTTTGAACCCTCCGACTGTTAGAAAAGTCAAAAAAAAAGTTTGACAGTCAAAAATTCCATCCACTTCCCCTGCCGTGCCTTTTACACAGGCTAGTCACTAGCAGTCTGATCATATTTTAGCAAGCACTCAAATTCAGTCAACAGACAAAAGCAGGCAACTGGTAGGCACAGCTGTCTTATCAATCACCTACAGTCAAAGCATAGCTGTATCGAGTTACATAAACAGTCACAGCCAGTCAGTCCTACTTTATGAAAGCAGGGAGCTCTGAACTGTTGAAAACAGTCACTCGATTGATCTTGACTACAAGGACAACTTGGCACAGAATGTATGTTTGCGTAGGAAGGTTAATGTGTACTTTCTTGGTTTTAATGACATACAGTACACATGGACCGTGCGTACAGCGGCTAGTGTTAAAGCCTGGCTACTGTACACAAGTTGAGCGTTATAGTCAAAGTTGTACGTGACATACAATGTTGGATTCCAAGTTTTAATTTTTTTAATTTTGTTGACGCAAGTCAACAAAATGAATTTCAAAAATCTCACTTAAAAGCTTTGCATAAGGTGGGTTTTCACTCTTAGAAGATATTTCTTGTTCCACTTGTGCAAGTATAAAGATAGCATTACATCCACAGTCACTATTCTACATGTATATCAATGTACATGTACAGTCAAGTCTCATTAATACAAACTCGTTCGGACCTAGCCAAATTGTTTGTTATATCAGAATTTTGTATTAAGAGGAACACGAGTCCCATTCATTGTGCACATAAATGCACAGTCGGGACCATGGCTTTATGTTTGTTATAACCAGAATTTTGTATTAACAGAGTTTGTACTAACGACTATATAGAATGCATGGAAAAACTTTATTAAAAACTTTGTTGAGGCCTATGCCATGAATTGCGGTTCTGTTGATGTAACTAAACGATTGCGCATCATTGGCCAATTTTGGTCCAGTTTTGGGGGAATGTTCCCAGAAAAAGAGAGCGAAGGATCCACGGCATGTTCCTTAATGGAATAAGAATTTTCCCACTGTTGGGTAACTTTTAAGTTTGTCACTTTCGGGGGAAATCACCAAAACTCTGCATATTTTCCCCCTCAAATGTTGTTTTTGTCAAATAAACCACAAAGCAGGATAGAGTTAGCAGAACAAAATTTGAATCCCAAAATTTGGATGAGATCTGTGAGGGCTTTGTCTTTACAACTTACCACCCGAACATAATATCCAAATGTCTCTTAACTTTCTCTTTTTTTGTTGTTGTAACGTTTGTTTCAGAGACCTGAACCTGGTTTTGGAGAGCCACCCAGGAATAGAGGAGCATTGCTTCCACCTCCCGCGGCGCCATTTGGATCTGGCTACAGTAGGATGTAATGAACCTGGGTGTAAGTGGGTACACTGGGTGCATTTTCACTGCAGTGTGATAGGTACAACTGGGTACAGCTATGTGGGAGATGCAATTAACCTGGGTGGAAGTGGGTTCACTGGGTGCATCTCACTGCAGTGTAATGGGTACAACTGGGTACATGTACCGTTATTTGGGGAGATGTAACTAACTTGGGTGGAAGTGGGCACTTGAATGCATTTTAGTGCAGTTAAATGGGTACAACTGGGTACAGCTACATAGGAATGCCAGATGGAGATCAGATCTAGCAGGGAGTTACTGAAATTTTAAGGAAGAAATTGAACTTTTGACATACGTACTGGTTTCATATAAAATAGATGCATTAAAATTGTAAGTGGGCACACTGAATACAAGAACTGGGTAAAAATGGGTACAGAGTGTTATATCTCAATGTAAAACAATGGGTAACACTGGGTACATCAGTCTTTGCATGTACATGTATGTACAACCAAGCATCGGGCCTTTTTAACAAGATTCACCAAATGGTAGCAAGTTGTACAGTGACGGGCAGGAACTTTTTTTTAGTGTAATTATTGTCAAGTGATTTTTGTGAATTGACTTATTTTAGGTTTTTAGAGTTTCTTACAGGTTGGGGAAAAGTAAAACTACATGTACTGATTTTGAAGGCCAGAATTCTTTTGGTTTCGATTTGTATGTTTGTTTTTATTGGGTGGGGTGGAATTATTGATCTTTTGGTCTAATAATTTTGATAATCAAATAAAATCCAAGCAGTTGTTATTTGACATTAGTAATAGCGACCTAACATTGAACTTGTAAAAAAACATGGTGTCGTCACATTGTTCCTCTTGTTGGACAAAAAAAATAAAAGTTGAAAGTTGTGTTTTAAAAATCTAATTATATTTGTGTCGCATTTTAGCTTACTGTAAACTAAACGGAACAAATTTAAAACCTATTCAAGAAAATCCAGTCTGGACAGATCGGAACCCAGAGGACGCTAGCAGCCAGCTCGGACTGTGGAGGAATAAAGACCTACACACCATACCGTCATCTTTCATTGACAATTTAATTGCACCTTCAACTCATTAATGAATTTCTTCTACATATTTCAAAAAAATTCTATTTGACATGAATTGTTCCAGTGGAATGTTTGGCGGACCCCACATCTTAAGCAAAGTTTGGTCCAAAAATATTAAATTACATGTACTTTGATAACAAAAATAGAAAATGTTATACAATCATAAAAGTATCCTCATAAGTCCGTAAACTGCTAGACCGAGTCCAATGCCTCCAAAAATTAACGCTACTCTGATCTTCCAATGAGCATACGACGTCTGGAATTGTCTGTTCAAGTAGTCCACTGCCAACTTGGTGTCTGCGACACTGCCGCAGTTGTCGATTACGTAATCTGCGAGCTTGCGTTTCTCGCGTAGGGGCATCTGGGAGTTGATCCTCGCAAGGGCGTCCTCTCTGCTGAGGTTGCGAGCCATGAGTCTGTGCAGCTGGGTTTCCTCATCGCTAAAAGAGAAGAAAAAAAATCACGATGAGTGGAATTTATACTCGACTGTAACTTAAAATTTGTACTAATACACGCCTTTTCACTACTTTTCACAACTGACATTCACAATGATGGTAAATATTTTATCAGTTTCCAGAACTCACCAGTAAACCACTATAACCTTCCGCAGGAACTTCCGCAAGGCGCTGCCTTCCAGGAGAAGAGGAATGTCCATGATGACGTACGGATAACCTACAGAAACAATTCAATAAAAGGCTTTATTTTTTAAGAACAGAAAAGTTTTGCCTTGTTAACCATTCCAAGTAATGATATCTTTGAATTTTTAGTCTCCCATTGAAAATTGACAAGGTTCAAGAATATCGAGATGAAATGCCTTCATTAACCCTAACCTTCCCAAATCCTCCCAAATCCTCCCATGTGGAATTTAAATCAGTGGTTGGATTGATGTGGGAAGTAAAAATCTTTTTTCTTGTGGTTAAGTGTCTTGCCCATGGACAAATGTTTCTTTTCTACGATAAAAAAGACCTCAACCCTCGAAACTGAAGTAAGAACAATTCTTAGAAATATCAAAGAGTTAGAAATAAAGTGGCATCTTGAGAGACCAAGATGGATGAGAATCAAAGAAAATTGTGGTGAAGTATCAAGCCCAGGGACACAAATGGATTTAACACTGAAAAAGTAACAAACCTTTGAGGAAGTACTTGAAAACCCTCCACATCATTTCCTTCTGGATGAAGGGATGAGTGCAGGAGTTCAACAGTCGCCTCTTCTCAGCATCACCAAAGATGATCGCCCCTAATTTAGGTCTGTCGATGGTACCATCCTCCTGCAGTATTCCACTGCCAAAGTGTTTAACAATCAGCTTCCAGGAAGGTTTGTTGGGCTCAACCACTGTTCGATAGGTAGAGAAAAAACAAGAGTGGTTATTTGCTCTGAGGGGCAGGATTTAATACCAACAATTGAGAAAAGTATGCTTTCCATTTTTAACATGGTGCTGAAAATGTAAAATTTGCGATTAGCTCACAAAAATGATTGTCGCTATTTATCGAGGCAGTAAAAAAGTAAATCTTCCATTCCATCCAATCAACATATTTCTTAGCTTTGAGTAACTCCAGCTTAACAAGCTCATCAGGAATTCAGCTTAACAAGCTCATCAGGAATTCACATATGAATTCCTGATGAGCTTGTTAAGCTTGAGTTACTCAAGCTTCATATTTCTAGACGTATCTGTACCTTCTCGAGCGATCACATCCGCATCGATGATGGGACATCCCAGCTCCTTGAAGAAGTTTGAGACGGTGCTCTTGCCAGACGCGATACCGCCGGTAACGCCAATCAGATACATGATTTGGTGCCGTCTGCAAAAATAAATAATGTAGCAACATCAGCAAATAATGAGAACACAAGCGGCCCCTATGTAGACAGGAGACGTTGCTCCTCTGTGATAAACATATTAATAGACACTTTGAGAGAGCTCTATTAGTATTACAAACAATAATATTTTTTGGTCTTCATTCAATGACTAGTAGTCTTCTAAAACCTGAAAACTAGCTCTCATTCTGATTCTCATGATTCTCAATAACTCAAGTATGACATTCTATTCTCAATTTTTGTCAAAGTCATATTATGCCTACTGGAAGTTATCATACTTACCTTGCTTAATAGCAATATCGTGAAATCCTAACCAACAATTTATTCTAATAACCTTTAAAAGATGATTCTCACTTGAACATGTTGAAACTTTAAAAAAGCAATGAGCTCAGGCCAGCTGATATCAACTAATGCCCAAATCATCATGTCATGTGACCAAAATAATGCTCACGTGACCCGAGGCCGATCCTGACCAATCAAATTCATCGTTACAAAGTTGGCGGGTTGCCAAATTTGCTCAAGATGGCGGCGCGCATGGATCACCATCGGCGGAAGAAAATCTGCGATGTTCGGCCCGCATACAGAGACGGTAGAAGCGAAAAAGCTGTGAAAGTAAGTTGACTTCATGAACATGATATTGAAATGTAATTCTGTTTAATTAAATTCTGAAATTGGTCTCGTAACTTCCGGCCTACAGCAGAAATTATATGCCCATTTTCCGGACACATATGGCGATCGTGTAGTGCAGGGCCCCTGTTTTGTTTTGATCAAATTAGAGTAAAAAAAATATTTGTATTGCTCAAAAATCACCTTTAGTTTACAATCAAAAGCAGACTTTTTCAATTCTAACGACACCCGTTTTGCAATTTTGAAGTTAAACAGTTTTTTTAAATAAAAATCGCGAATAAAAAACCTGCGCGGTTTGTGCCTTACGAGCATGCTCAAGCACCGAGCATGCTCAAGGTACATTGCGCGGTGATCGCCATCTTTATTTTCGGGTTGCATGTTGTCGCCACGCTGTCATCGTCATTTTACCCAAAACTTTCCCTAAAAAAATCAAAACCCTGCCCTCTATCTATGACAATGACATACCTGTTTAATGAGAATGTCGCCAACTAGTTTGGTCGGTCTAATAATTTTAAAGTGGATTTTGTTCCCTTACAGGAACCGGGCCCTACACTACACGATCGCCAATATCATGACTATCCAATATGACTTGCAGTAGAAACCATGTTAACGTTACAAATCACGGCAAATTTAATAATTTATGCAATTATCTCAACTTAAATGTATCCTTAAAATGTTAAATGAGAATGTTGTTTTATAAAATCAGTACAACTAGTCCTAGTAGTAGTAGGCCTACTAGTACTAAAAGTACTAGCACTAGCAGTGACCAGGATTTTGTTTTACGAAAAAAAATGTTGTACTGGGGACCGGGGCAGCAGTAGGCCTATACGTCCACCTCCAGAGACTTGGATAAAGCTTGACAATATAACCCGTCACCCACCCCTGCAAATGTACATTGTCAGATCGTGTTTAACTGATGAAATAGGGGCGATTGTGGAGCTCAGAACACCCCAATTTTGTTATTCTTAAAAAATATTTTGTCCCTGACATTTGCAACCTCCAACAATCTTCTCTTAAATATATGGAATTTTGAACAGTATTTTCGGAGCAAGTGTGACTTTCTTAAGTGATATTCAAGTAGCAACCACCGTGCCAATCGACACACTCACACAGCTGTCGCCATGTTTGTTTGTGTGTGCGCATTTGCATAGTTGCCGTTGTCGTTTTACCCCATAATTTCCCTCAAAAATCAAAACCCTGCCTTCTTTCCACAAAATTTATCCTGCAGATATTGAACATGGTGTCATTGTCATCTATTTTGGTGAGTTAAATAGTTAAAAGTGGATTTCGTTATCTTTATAGCAACGGGGTCCTAAACTCCACAATCCCCTAAATAGGCTGTCCAAGCATGTAGAATGTTGCAGTATAAAGCATAACAGGTTGGTGCTGATTCTTTTTTTTTTTCTTTTTAATCTGACATGTCTGAAGTTTAACGTCATATTGCATCCTTTTTATTACCAAGGTGTACACAATCAACCAGGAATCATGCTACCTGATCATCCAGGGCGTACCGGACATCAAAGTCACTGAGGAGTTGCTCAAACTGTTCTCGTTGTATGGCACGATTGAGGAGTACCGGATACTGGAGGATTTCCCAGCTGAGGCATTCACCAAAGTCTACTGGGTCAAATATGTTGAGTTACAAGCAGCAAGGTACTTTTCACGTTCTGCTGTACCATTCAACTAACAAAAACAAGTGGATTTATTGTATTCAAATTTTAAACTCAAACTCCAAGTTACCAATACATGGTTGGTATTTTAACTAATGTGTATACAGATTGAAGTTTTACTATGACGTATGAAGGATTTATTTTCCAAAATGCGATAAACGCCAGTTTGTTACGTTTTAGAATCCCGATCTCTCCCAGTTGCCCAAAGTCAGTTTTGACAGCTGTTAAATAGCTCAACACAATTTAAGCAAACAATAAAGCGAAAAATGAAGATTAGAAACAGCTGTTATACTGTTTGAATTCTTTAAAGCTTGATAACAGTGACAACTTCTTCACTTTTTTCAAATGGATATATATATCGTTTTGAAAAAAATGACTCCTTATACTTGGACGCAAATGAGATATAGGGGAAACAAATAATCTTGGTTCTTTGCTGCAGCCAAAAGCAGCTATTTATTTGACCAAAACTTTAATGTGCACCAAGAATAAAGCATTTTATCTTCCAGAGATAAAATCAATTACATGCATGTTTAAATTTTTGTTTTACTTGTAATTTTGCATCACACTTTGTATCAATTCTGTTGAAAGCAAAATTGTACCAATATATTTTCACTTCAAATTTATGTGTAAAATAATTATTCTGACTCATTTCCATCCCTAGGGTCGCCAAGCGTAAGATGGATGACAGACCCTTCTACGGGGGCACTCTGCACGTCTCCTACGCCCCCGAGTACGAGTCTGTGGAAGACACCGGGCGTAAGTTGCAAGAGAGGAGAAAAGAAGTGGCCAGGCGGCTGAAGAAACTACAGCAGGAAAGTAATGGTGTGTCCAAGTATCTAGTGTTATTTGTAAAGAATAGCCCTATAAATGGGGACTAGATACTAGACTGTCTCTATACATAGTGAGCCCGCTCCCACCAGTAAAAAACATACAAATTTGCATATTTTTTGGAATGGCTTTGAAATATTACAATGGAGGATGGCCAAGATTTTGTATGCATTAGGCATATGTATAGTTTGTGTGATGTTCATTTACATCAGGCTTTGCTGAATCTGTTAAAATATCTGTCTAGATTTTTCTCTAAATTTTCCTCATTCTTATCAATGTTTATGGTTGTATTTCAGCAGAGGTGCCCTCTACTTCTCATGGCAAACCTGCATCAACAATGCAAGATAGCAATGATCCTCTTGCTTTGAAGTCTGGCACTCAGACTTCTACAGGCCAGGACTTGAACAAAAGCCAGCTAATAGGTCCTAGGAAACCTGACTCCCTTCCAAATACATCCACAGACTCGCATCAGTCTGTTAATGAATCTAGTGTAACGTTACCTGGTGATCACAGTGAAGAAATACCAGAGCAACTTCCAGCCCCTCCAAGGACTCTACCCGTTTGGGAATGGGAATATCCGGTCACGTCACGTGACCAGTATCCACGGTTACCAACGGCCCACGCCACCCTGCCTCGAAATTTCAACCCCTACCCCGACGGTTACGAACCCAACATACCAGGTAACCAACACAAAAATAACCTCACACCCATGTCAAACACTGTTACGAACACTGAGGGGATACCTGTGACAACCACGGGTGCTTCGGACTTGGGCCAAACAGGTGCAAGACCGAAATTCAAACTTGGACGAGACAGTCATCGTGGCGACAGCGCAAAGGAGGAGAAAAACCAAAGGCCTCGGTTGAGATTCCTGGAGCGTGTTGCTTGGCGGGAGAGCGGTAAACACGGAGGAGTGAAGTCAAGAAGTGAGACACCATCTCAGGACGGAACCTCTGCCAATAACAGGACACGCCCAGTTTCCTTAAAAGGACCACACCCTGATCAGTGTTCAAACCCACCCACCCAAACCTCTGGTCGTGTTCCGCCCAACCTGCAAACTTCATCGTTTGTGCCACGGCAGTTGCTCGGCAAACGGAAGCACACCACAGAATCCTCACAACCAGAGCAAGCAGGATTTGGTTTGAGTTGTGAGGGAGGAGCAGGGCACTCTGAGCAGAGGGGGCACGGTGATACAGGGTTGACGGAGGCAGAGACACCACCTGTCACAGGGGATGCTTCATTTGACAGGACTGTGCAGAACATCAGGAGGCAGATGAGAAATGTAAGTATCACTAATTATTTCAAAACGGAGCCATCTAGAGTTCAGTTTCATGGAGTACTACTCTCAAAAACACTGTTTTAAAAACAAACTTGGAATGTCAAAATGAGCTGAGAAGTAAGCAGCTGAGAAATGAGCTGAGAACTAAGCAGATCTCTTGGGTGCTCAGCAAAGACATGATCTGGGTGGGGCGCTGTGGTCGAGTGGTTACAGTGTTCGACTCTTGTGCTGTGGCACACATCTTCGAACCCAGACGGGAGCACGGTGGTTGCGTTCTTGGGCAAGACACTTTACTGCAATCGCCTCTATCCACCCAGGAGTATGAATGGGTACCTACATGTGAAGGCAGAGACCAGATTGCGCTGACCTTGAGCTGCTGCAGAAACAAATGGTCTCATGGCCTGATGAACAGGGGTAATAATTGTGAAGTGCTTTGAAACCATTGGTATAAAGTACTACAATGTGTATGAATGTAAGCACCAAATTATAATTATCCTTGCATTATCATTGCATTTTAGTTCTTAGATTAATACTTTTCCCACACTCTAAGCCTGAACTCTTAAATATTTGTTTGTGAATCTTTTTATCAGAATCATTTTGCAAATTTCTGTAGCTGCAAACAAAAGCACCTATTTTGGAAATGGCCTTAGTATTGTTTTCTTTCCTTTCTGTCACAAGGTTGTTCCAGCACGCAGTCAGGTGGCAGGTGTACAGCAGCAAGTAGCACCTGCACCTCAACCTGCAGCAGCAGCAGCACCAGCAGGTGGGCCATCAGCTACCAAACGCCCGCGGATCTAACACAGTAGCTGCAACAGCAGCTGGGCCATCAGCTACCAAACGCCCGCGGATCTAACACAGTAGCTGCAGCAGCAGGTGGGCCATCAGCTACCAAACGCCCGCAGATCTAACACAGTAGCAGCAGCAGCAGGTGGGCCATCAGCTACCAAACGCCTGTGGATCTAACACAGTAGCTGCAGCAGCAGGTGGGCCATCAGCTACCAACCCCCTGCAGATCTAACACAGTAGCAGCAGCAGCAGGTGGGCCATCAGCTACTAAACGCCCGCGTATCTAACACAGTAGCTGCAGCAGCAGGTGGGCCATCAGCTAACAAACGCCCGCGGGTCTAACACAGTAGCTGCAGCAGCAGGTGGGCCATCAGCTAACAAACGCCCGCGGGTCTAACACAGTAGCTGCAGCAGCAGGTGGGCCATCAGCTAACAAACGCCCGCGGGTCTAACACAGTAGCTGCAGCAGCAGGATGGCCATCAGCTACCAAACGCCCGCGGATCTAACACAGCTAATTGTGATTAATGTGATCTGGGAGATGTGAGGGTGGTGCTCCATCTGAAATGGCGACACTGGACTGGATCAATCTGTAGACAGTTGTACCTTGAGGGTCTTAGATTTTAGGCTTAACATGGCAATACATTTTGACGGTAATAACCCTAAGGCTACACGCTTACAATTGTGTCTGTTGTTGCCGTGTAGAGTCCCAAAACTAAAAACCACACAGGACGTGTTCACTCATGTCGACAAACGACTCATCGTCGCATCCAGTAACATGAATCACAGGCTGATTTAAAAGGCAAGACCATTTCCGATGTCGCCCCTCTTTGCTCCGAGATCCGCAACAAAATAAATGTTCGGGAGCCAAGAGTGCAAATCCCCTGACCTACTTTCCCTAATGCGACGGAGGATTATAGCTGAACTAAGCCGCACGCACACACATGAGGGGGGGGGGGGGGGGGTGAGGATGAGAGACAACACAAATCAGGCCGCGGGCGTGTGACCCTATTCACAGCTCTGTCTTCCGCTTAGACTTACTGGCAGCCGGTGCTAAGAGTTCTGTAATTGTTCGCAGTAATCAGTTAAAACCACAGGCACCTAAGTGTTTAGCGTGAGTCAGGGAGGTTGATAGGAACAGGAAGATAGAAAGCCAATTAGTTCTCTTTATTCGGTGCAGGGATGCGGTTTAGGGCTGTGTTTTACGTGCGGACTTGTTGTGTAACTTGGAGTTTGAAAGTCATAATCAGTTTATTATTGGGGGGGGGGGGCCTTAAAAAAACAAGTGTTTCTGAAGAGTCTTTTGTATTGTAGGAATGTTAATTATTCAGGCATGCAACTTTTCCTCGGATCTGCTGGTTTTTGACTTCTCATGAATGCCATCACCAATCGAAAAAAACTGTACAAAATCTTGTATGGTTTGGAGTTTCCTCGTTTTTTGCCCTCTAAATTCCCAGTTGCATGCCTGATTATTACTGGTATTGAAAGCCGACAATTTATCAAAGTGAAAATACAGCTATTAACTTTGACGCTTGCAGAAACCTTTAATGCGAAGGTGGTGAGCAAAGGGTGTTTAATATTTGATTTGTAGAATTTGTTTCATTGACTTCCATTTTATAAGTTAACTTGTATTTTGTCATTTATTTTTTTTATTAAGTTACCGATATATTCATAAGTCAGTGCTCCTAATAAAAGAATTAATTATGAGGCCAATCTGAAAAGTAAAATGAGACATGAGAATTATAGTCTGAAATGAAATCCATGGAATCTTGAAAGCCTACTCTCTCTCTCTCTCTCCGATTTTTGTTTCTTTTAGATGACTGTTGGGAAAGTAGACTGTAAGAAATCGATTCTTAGATTTCAGTCTTATTTAATGGGAAAAAAATATGTTATGTTGCACAATTGAAAAATATTATCGTATTGCAAACTTTGCATTCTTCGTTATTCCAAAATATGAATTATTGTATAATTTTGTACTGTAAATTTGTGGAAAAATAAATACTTTATGAAAAGAAAATGTTCTAATGTACCGGTAAATAAGTTATTTGAACTGAACAAGTTATTTGCTAAAAACAATTTACAAGGGGTTAACCTTGCATTGGTATCAAAATTTAGCATAAGTTTGATTTTCTTCCAAAATTTACTGAACTCAATCAAAAATTAATTTGCAAGTTTAGCCTTGCTTGCAAGGGGTTAGCCTTGCATTTTTATGAAAATTTGGCCAAAATTTAATTTTCTTCCCAATTTACTCAAATCACTCAAAAATTAATTTGCAAGGGGTTAGCCTTGCATTTTTATGAAAATTTGGCCAAAAATTGATTTTCTTCCAAATTCCTCAAAACACTCAAAAATGTATTTGCAAGGGGTTAGCCTTGCATTTTTATGAAAATTTGGCCAAAATTTGATTTTCTGCCAAATTTCCTCAAATCACTCCAAAATTAATTTGCAAGGGGTTAGCCTTGCATTTTTATGAAAACTTGGCCAAAATTTGGTTTTCTGCCAAAATTACTCAAATTACTCAAAAATTATTTTGCAAGGGGTTAGCCTTGCATTTTTATGAAAATATGGCCAAAATCTGATTCTTTTCAAAATTCCTCATATCACTCCAAAATTAATTTGCAAGGGGTTAGCCTTGCATTTTAATGAAAATTTGGGCAAAATCTGATTTTCTTCCAAATTTCCTCAAATCACTCAAAAATTAATTTGCAAGGGGTTAGCCTTGCATTTTTATGAAAATTTGGCCAAAATCGGATTTTCTTCAAAATTCCTCAAATCACTCAAAAATTTATTTGCAAGGGGTTAGCCTTGAATTTTTATGAAAACTTGTCCAAAATTTGATTTTCTGCCAAAATAACTCACATCACTCAAATATTTATTTGCAAGGGGTTAGCCTTGCATTTTAATGAAAATTTGGCCAAAATTTGATTTTCTTCCAAATTTCCTCAAATCACTCAAAAATAATTTGCAAGGGGTTAGCCTTACTTTTTTATAAAATTTTGGTCAAAACTTGACTTTTCTGGAAACGACCTAGAAACACTTTAGGAGGCATGATTAGCATATTTTCATCATTCTAAAGTGATAATTTTGAAAATTTGGGCAAATACAAAGGATTTTTGTCCGAAAATTAAAAAAAAAACAATTAATTTTTCCAATATTGTTGACGCCATATTTCTTTTGAACACCACATATGGCCTGAGAATTTTGGGAATATGTTCTAAGGGCCATCAGGCATCTTCCTAGCAATTTTCAAGCAATTTCATATTTTGGCCAAAATTGAAAAAAAATGCAAGGGGTTAGCCTTACTTTTTCATCAAATTTTGGTCAAAAATTGTCTTTTCTGGAAACGACCTAGAAACACTTTAGGAGGTATGATTAGCATATTTTCATCATTCTAAAGTGATAATTTTGAAAATTTGGGCAAATATAAAGGATTTTTGTCCTTAAAATAAAAAAAAAACAATTAATTTTTCCAATTTTGTTGACGCCATATTTCCCCTGAACACCACATATGGCCTAAGAAATTTTGGGAATGTGTTCTAAGGGCCATCAGGCATCTTCCTAGCAATTTTCAAGCAATTTCATATTTTGGCCAAAATTGAAAAAAATGCAAGGGGTTAGTTAGCCTTACTTTTTTATCAAATTTTGGTCAAAAATTGTCTTTTCTGGAAACGACCTAGAAACACTTTAGGAAGCATTATTAGCATATTGTTATCATTCTAAAGTGATTATTTTGAAAATTTGGGCAAATACAAAGGATTTTTGTCCGAAAATTAAAAAAAAACAATTAATTTTTCCAATTTGTAGACGCCATATTTCTTTTGAACACCACATTTGGCCTGAGAAATTTTGGGAATGTGTTGTAAGGGCCATCAGGCATCTTTCTAGCAATTTTCAAGCAATTTCATATTTTGGCCAAAATTGAAAAAAAATGCAAGGGGTTAGCCTTACTTTTTTATCAAATTTTGGTCAAAAATTGACTTTTCTGGAAACGACCTAGAAACACTTTAGGAGGCATGATTAGCATATTTTCATCATTCTAAAGTGATTATTTTGAAAATTTCGACAAATACAAAGGATTTTTGTCCGAAAATAAGAAAAACCAATTAATTTTTCCAATTTTGTTGACGCCATATTTCTCTAGAACACCACATATGGCCTGAGAAATTTTGGGAATGTGTTCTAAGGGCCATCAGGCATCTTCCTAGCAATTTTCAAGCAATTTCATATTTTGGCCAAAATTGAAAAAAAATGCAAGGGGTTAGCCTTACTTTTTTATCAAATTTTGGTCAAAAATTGTCTTTTCTGGAAACGACCTAGAAACACTTTAGGAAGCATTATTAGCATATTGTTATCATTCTAAAGTGATAATTTTGAAAATTTGGGCAAATACAAAGGATTTGTGTCCGAAAATTAAAAAAAAACAATTAATTTTTCCAATTTTGTAGACGCCATATTTCTTTTGAACACCACATTTGGCCTGAGAAATATTGGGAATGTGTTGTAAGGGCCATCAGGCATCTCTCTAGCAATTTTCAAGCAATTTCATATTTTGGCCAAAATTGAAAAAAAATGCAAGGGGTTAGCCTTACTTTTTTATCAAATTTTGGTCAAAAATTGTCTTTTCTGGAAACGACCTAGAAACACTTTAGGAAGCATTATTAGCATATTGTTATCATTCTAAAGTGATTATTTTGAAAATTTGGGCAAATACAAAGGATTTTTGTCCGAAAATTAAAAAAAAACAATTAATTTTTCCAATTTGTAGACGCCATATTTCTTTTGAACACCACATTTGGCCTGAGAAATTTTGGGAATGTGTTGTAAGGGCCATCAGGCATCTTTCTAGCAATTTTCAAGCAATTTCATATTTTGGCCAAAATTGAAAAAAAATGCAAGGGGTTAGCCTTACTTTTTTATCAAATTTTGGTCAAAAATTGTCTTTTCTGGAAACGACCTAGAAACACTTTAGGAGGTATGATTAGCATATTTTCATCATTCTAAAGTGATAATTTTGAAAATTTGGGCAAATATAAAGGATTTTTGTCCTTAAAATAAAAAAAAAACAATTAATTTTTCCAATTTTGTTGACGCCATATTTCCCCTGAACACCACATATGGCCTAAGAAATTTTGGGAATGTGTTCTAAGGGCCATCAGGCATCTTCCTAGCAATTTTCAAGCAATTTCATATTTTGGCCAAAATTGAAAAAAATGCAAGGGGTTAGTTAGCCTTACTTTTTTATCAAATTTTGGTCAAAAATTGTCTTTTCTGGAAACGACCTAGAAACACTTTAGGAAGCATTATTAGCATATTGTTATCATTCTAAAGTGATTATTTTGAAAATTTGGGCAAATACAAAGGATTTTTGTCCGAAAATTAAAAAAAAACAATTAATTTTTCCAATTTGTAGACGCCATATTTCTTTTGAACACCACATTTGGCCTGAGAAATTTTGGGAATGTGTTGTAAGGGCCATCAGGCATCTTTCTAGCAATTTTCAAGCAATTTCATATTTTGGCCAAAATTGAAAAAAAATGCAAGGGGTTAGCCTTACTTTTTTATCAAATTTTGGTCAAAAATTGACTTTTCTGGAAACGACCTAGAAACACTTTAGGAGGCATGATTAGCATATTTTCATCATTCTAAAGTGATTATTTTGAAAATTTCGACAAATACAAAGGATTTTTGTCCGAAAATAAAAAAAAACCAATTAATTTTTCCAATTTTGTTGACGCCATATTTCTCTAGAACACCACATATGGCCTGAGAAATTTTGGGAATGTGTTCTAAGGGCCATCAGGCATCTTCCTAGCAATTTTCAAGCAATTTCATATTTTGGCCAAAATTGAAAAAAAATGCAAGGGGTTAGCCTTACTTTTTTATCAAATTTTGGTCAAAAATTGTCTTTTCTGGAAACGACCTAGAAACACTTTAGGAAGCATTATTAGCATATTGTTATCATTCTAAAGTGATAATTTTGAAAATTTGGGCAAATACAAAGGATTTGTGTCCGAAAATTAAAAAAAACAATTAATTTTTCCAATTTTGTAGACGCCATATTTCTTTTGAACACCACATTTGGCCTGAGAAATATTGGGAATGTGTTGTAAGGGCCATCAGGCATCTCTCTAGCAATTTTCAAGCAATTTCATATTTTGGCCAAAATTGAAAAAAAATGCAAGGGGTTAGCCTTACTTTTTTATCAAATTTTGGTCAAAAATTGTCTTTTCTGGAAACGACCTAGAAACACTTTAGGAAGCATTATTAGCATATTGTTATCATTCTAAAGTGATTATTTTGAAAATTTGGGCAAATACAAAGGATTTTTGTCCGAAAATTAAAAAAAAACAATTAATTTTTCCAATTTTGTAGACGCCATATTTCTTTTGAACACCACATTTGGCCTGAGAAATTTTGGGAATGTGTTGTAAGGGCCATCAGGCATCTCTCTAGCAATTTTCAAGCAATTTCATATTTTGGCCAAAATTGAAAAAAAATGCAAGGGGTTAACCTTACTTTTTTATCAAATTTTGGTCAAAATTGTCTTTTCTGGAAACGACCTAGAAACACTTTAGGAGGCATGATTAGCATATTTTCATCATTCTAAAGTGATTATTTTGAAAATTTGGGCAAATACAAAGGATTTTTGTCTGAAAATTAAAAAAAACAATTAATTTTTCCAATTTTGTTGACGCCATATTTCTTTTGAACACCACATATGGCCTGAGAAATTTTGGGAATATGTTCTAAGGGCCATCAGGCATCTTCCTAGCAATTTTCAAGCAATTTCATATTTTGGCCAAAATTGAAAAAAAATGCAAGGGGTTAGCCTTACTTTTTCATCAAATTTTGGTCAAAAATTGACTTTTCTGGAAACGACCTAGAAACACTTTAGGAGGTATGATTAGCATATTTTCATCATTCTAAAGTGATTATTTTGAAAATTTGGGCAAATATAAAGGATTTTTGTCCTTAAAATAAAAAAAAACAATTAATTTTTCCAATTTTGTTGACGCCATATTTCCATTGAACACCACATATGGCCTGAGAAATTTTGGGAATGTGTTCTAAGGGCCATCAGGCATCTTCCTAGCAATTTTCAAGCAATTTCATATTTTGGCCAAAATTGAAAAAAATGCAAGGGGTTAGCCTTACTTTTTTATCAAATTTTGGTCAAAAATTGTCTTTTCTGGAAACGACCTAGAAACACTTTAGGAAGCATTATTAGCATATTGTTGTTATTCTAAAGTGATTATTTTGAAAATTTGGGCAAATACAAAGGATTTTTGTCCGAAAATTAAAAAAAAACAATTAATTTTTTCAAATTTGTAGACGCCATATTTCTTTTGAACACCACATATGGCCTGATAAATTTTGGGAATGTGTTCTAACGGCCATCGGGCATCTTCCCAGCAATTTTCAAGCAATTTCATATTTTGGCCAAAATTGAAAAAATGCAAGGGGTTAATAGCCTTGCATTTTTATGAAAATTTGGCCAAAATCTGATTTTCTTTCAAATTTCCTCCAATCACTCAAAAATAAATTTGCAAGGGGTTAGCCTTGCATTTTTATGAAAACTTGGCCAAAATTTGATTTTCTGCCAAAATTACTCAAATTACTCAAACATTATTTTGCAAGGGATTAGCCTTGCATTTTTATGAAAATTTGGCCAAAATCTGATTTTCTTCCACAATTCCTCAAATCACTCCAAAAATTATTTGCAAGGGGTTAGCCTTGCATTTTAATGAAAATTTGGCCAAAATTTGATTTTCTTCCAAATTTCCTCAAATCACTCAAAAATAATTTGCAAGGGGTTAGCCTTGCAATTTTATGAAAATTTGGCCAAAATCTGATTTTCTTCAAAATTTCTCAAATCACTCAAAAATTATTTTGCAAGGGGTTAGCCTTGCATTTTTATGAAAATTTGGCCAAAATCTGATTTTCTTCCAAATTTCTCAAATCACTCAAAAAAATCATATGCAAAGGGTTAGCCTTGCAGTTTTATGAAAATTTGGCCAAAATGTGATTTTCTGCCAAAATTACTCGTATTACTCAAAGATTAATTTTCAAGGGGTTAGCCTTCCTTTCTTTTGAAAATTTGGCAAAAATTTTATTTTCTTCCAAATTCCTCAAAACACTCAAAAATTTATTTGCAAGGGGTAAGCCTTGCATATTGATGAAAATTTGGCCAAAATTTGAAAATCTTCCAAATTTCTTCAAATTACTCAAAAATTAATTTGCAAGGGGTTAGCCTTGCATTTTTATGAGGTGGACAAAATTTGAATTTGTTTTAAATTTTCTCCAATGTCTCAAAAATTTATGAAAATTTGGCCAACATTTTGATTTCTTTTTTTAAAACTATCTAAAATCACTCAAAAATTTATTTACAAGGGATTAACACAACTACAGGGTTGCAATCATGGCAGGCACATTTCACTGTTTATTCTTCAAAATGACAATAGTATGAAAAAAAACACTACTACACTTTGCTATTAAAAAATTGACTAGAATTTTTCTCTAAACACTGATTTAAATTCTAACGTGAGTGTTAAGTAAGCAATGTGGACTATTCCATCTTGTCATTTCCAGTGTCAAATGAAATGGAGTAGTCCAGCTTTAATATCAAAGGAAAATGATGAATCTGTAATCACTGAATTACTAACATCTACAAGTGCAATGTAAAAGAAGAAGCTTAAATAAATACAAAATGCCAACTAATGACTACTACTTATTGTGCTTATTATAATGCAGTCTCCGTTGACAGCAAAACTTTCAAAAATTGTTACTGTTAGTTTACAAAAGCGCCCTCTACTGTTGATGGAGAATCCATCTGAACATTGGGCTCCAACTGAACACCAGGCCCAATTTCACGGCACTGCTAAGCACTAAAATTTGCTTAGCGCAAAAGAAGTCTGGCTTATAAAAGGAGGTTATCAGCCAAAACCCAATGTGATTTTCATGCTAAGCAAACAACAACTGAATACTAATCACGAGCAATATGCATCACGTGGAGTTTTGGCTGATAACCTGCTTTTATAAGCCAGACTTGTTTTGTGCTAAGCCAATTTTTGTTGGTGCTTAGCAGCGCTGTGAAATCGGCACCTGCAGAGCTACCAACTCTCCCTGATTCTGCAGAGAGTTCCCTGAAAAAAAAACCCACACCAATCTTTCCATGTTCTGATGAACACATTTAAAAATCTCCCCGATTATGAAAACTTTGTTTCCTTATTATGTTGAATGTTATTTTAAATATCTCCCATAGTGTTGCAAAAAACCTCCCTGATTGCAAGATGCAGATGTTGGCAGCTCTGCATCTGGCTTTTCATCATGCTTTCGCATGAACAATGAATGCAAGATTACTCTAAACCATTATCAACTCAATACTGATGATGATCTTTACAATACATGATGTTCTACAGGTGACATATCGCTATTTCACTGATGATTAAAAAGAAAAGAAAAAAAGATTAACTCTAACAGTCCTGAATCCTCCAATTTCAATATGATTTTGCACACCCCCTAGGGAGTTAGGGTTTTAATAAACAAAAAAAAGTTCCAAAGTCATCAAGTTCTTTCCGACCAGTATGTACACATTAAGATGCAACCATGTGGGGCAAAACTCAAAAGTAGGCTAACATCGGGAAAACAAAAAACAAAAGTCCAGGAAATTCATGTAAGTGTGACCGAGAAACAGACTTCAGTACTTTGCCCTTCTTGGATTTCCTGGATGTGCAAATCTTTTTCTTTTTCCGAACGGGGATAAAAAAACAAACTCAAAACAGACTTGATATACAGATGGTGCTGCACAAGGTTCACGATCAATTCTAGGGACTGACCCACGCTGGATCCGAGGTAGAGTCTGTCAACAGCCCCGGCCAATTAAACGCCAAACTCAGATTGACAGGGATTAGGTCTATTAGCAAATTGGGTCATCACGCAATGCGAGATAGCTGCCGACAGGATATTGCATTAATCATCGTCACATCTTCACATGATTCACGCCAGGTTTTTTACTTCAACCGGTTTTTTTTATTTTTCCTTCTTTTTTCCCTCTCTGCCTGGGATTATTTAGTGAGAGGCGGAGCTTACATGATGTCGAGTCTGTTTCTTCCTTAATCTTTTTTTTTTTTCTTTCTTGTTTCTTTTTTTTTCCCGTTTAGAATTTGTCGGATGATTGAGTTTTTTTTTTAAATGGATGGTTCCCTCGATGTTCTTGATTGAAGAGTTGGTCGACCTTCGTGTTGGTGTGCTGTGCAGTGTCATATCGATAATGCTGATCTCATTGCAATGATGATGTTGATAAAAGTGCAGCTTGGGACTATCTGATATTCACAGAGAGACCTGGAGAGAAATTTAAAGAAAACAAAGGACAAAACTTATTCTTTTCAGTCTTTTAAACTTTTATGTGACATCAAGGGATACTAAATATTGAGGAACACTGTTACTTCATTGGGCCAATTGGGGTGTTCACTCAAACTGGGTACCGACAAGATTCCAACAGGGTTTCGACAAAGATCCAACAAGGTTCCTACAGAGATCCAACAGGGCTCTGATAAGGATCCAACAGTGTTCTGACAAGGATCCAACAAGGTTCTGACAAGGACCCAATAGGGTTCTGACAAAGATCCAACAAGCTTCCTACAGGGATCCAACAGGGTTCTGACAAGGTTCAATGAAAGATCCAACAAGGTTCCTACTGGAATCCAACAAGGTTTAAACAAGGAGCCAACAAGGTTCCTACTTAGATCCAACAAGGTTCCTGCTGAGATCCAACAAGGTTTCTATTGCGATCCAACAAGGTTCCTACTGGGATCTAACAAGGTTCCTACTGGGATCCAACAAGGTTCCTACTGGGACCCAACAAGGTTTAAACAAGGATCCAACAAGGTTCCCCCTGAGATTCAACAAGGCTCCAACAAGGATCCAACAAGGTTCCTACTGGGATCCAACAAGGTTCCTACTGAGAGTTCAAAAGAACAAGGTTCAAACGAGGCTCCAACAAGATTCCAACAGAGAACCAACAAGGTTCTGACTGATGTCCAACAAGTTTCTTAAATAGATCCAAGAAGGTTCCAATAAGGATCCAACAATAATTCAACAGGGAGCCATCAGGGATAGTAAATGATCCGCAGCAAAGATATAAAAAGAGTTCATCACTCAGTCAGTAGGTTGGATTAGAAAAACCTGCTAAAATTTCCGACATCAGGCTCATCCATCTCTGTTAAATGTCAATTAAGCTTCCCCCCGACTCTTTCCCCTTCCATGTCCCGTATGAAACCCCAACCTGTTTCCTGACAGCATGACCTAGATCAGAAATGAAGATCCAGCGGCAGCAAAAAGAAAGTCCCTGCCCTTCCTCGATGATCATCCCCAAGAAAAAGAAAGTGCTGTGGTCAGAGGAAGTATCGAGTTTCAGCCCCATAACCGGCTTGACGCCGTTCAATTAGAGCCGCGTCATGAAATACTTCCAAACGACAATTTGCAGGTCTGACACGGCCGGGGAGGCTTGACAAACTTCTTTACTGTGGTTTTTTTTTTCAAGGCATTCCTCTGAAGGATATTTCAATAGGGCTGGCGTTTAAACAAACAATAAATACAATGTCCTGTTTTACACAAGGCTATCGGCAGATTATTGATGACGGGATCAGTTCAATGGCTCGGTGACAGTTTGGTTAAAACCAGCAAAGCCAAATGACAACCCAATGCATTTTAGACAACCCCTACCCCCAAACTCTCCCCCCCCCCCAAAAAAAAACCCAAAGAATTTTTGCGGGGGGGGGGGGGGGGGGGGTTCAGGCAATTCAGATTTGTTTTAATCGCAAATCAGTACTAAAATGTAGACAGGTTTCTTTTCTACGGACACTATGCAGGCATGTAACTGGGAATTTGGACAAAACGAGGAAACTCCAAACCACACAAGACTTTGTACGGTATTTTTCAATTTGTAATGGCATTCATAGGAAGTAAAAAAAACGAGGAAATCAGCAGATCCGAGGAAAAGTTGCATGCCTGACTATGATTATCATTATTTTTTGGGTGTAGGCTAAAGGTACAGGTATGTTAACCAAGGCGCGGATCCAAGAGGGGGGGGGGGGGGGTTCAGCTGCCCCTCGATCCATGCCTGGGTTGACATACATGTACCTTTAGCTGAAAAATTCTGAGAACTAAAAAAAAACAGCAAACATGACCACATGAGATTTCTTGGCAAATTTTTCTGTGTGTGGTAGCAAAAACAAATAACCCGGTGGCTTATCATCAGTGATGTGGCAAATTGGTTTTTGATGACGGTTCCCATTAACCTAATAACATATCGGACTGCTCTTTGTTATCCTGCTTCCTAGTTATTTGGTAAAAATGACTGCCATATTTGGGATGAAAGTTTGGGAAAGCGACGCTTGGCATAGAACTTCTTTTTCATGCTACTTCGCTTCGCTCATGCGCATGAAAAGCAGTTTCACTCTTTGAGAAACCAGACAAAGATTCAATTATACACAGACTGCAAGGTTAATATGGTTAGTGCTTATTACAGCATGGGAGGGGGTCTTGCAGTACAAGGACAATATCGGAAGACGTACAAGAGACACTTGGTGCGTGTGCAAGGACCTGAAGTGGCGAAGATCTGAGGAATTAGGCTTTTATAGTAATGTCACGCATCAGTGACTGGTAAGGGAGTGTCATCCCAATAAGGCGGGAATTTCAATGGACGGTATCAGACAAAAGACTACACTACAAAGAAACGGGCGTGCAGGCTGTGAAGGTTTACAGGAACAATCAAGCTGCCTGGTCACACAAACAACAAAACCATATTGATAGCAAACGAACTGGCTGCTGACCAGACATATTTTCGCTTGCCCAAAAGTAGGGCAGTGTGTAGAACGGAAACCTGCTTAGCAATCTGCTCAGCAGTCTGCTCAGCAGCTCAGGAAATCTGGGTGAATGGGGAGAGCTCGTCATTAGCCTCCTATCCGGCGGAAGCTGATGGGGGTGTTAATCCCAGGATTAATCTGTCCTAAGAGAAAAGCCTGCAGATGTTGAAAGTTTCACAGAAACCTGTCAGTCGTTGCCCTGGTCAATGAACACTCTCTGGGCTACAGCCGTAAACGCTCTTCTTTTTATTTTCAGTCCCGTATTTTGACCCACTTTGACCCTCACCCACTAAACTTCCTTTGAGAGGGTTCAAACCAGATTTCACAGAATTGAACACATACAATGATGTTTTGCATCACAGCAGCTGTTCTCACTTGGCATGACAGTAACGGCCAGTTTTTCTTCGCACTGCAAATTCCCGAAAGTTGAACCCATTTCAACTCCAGTTGAATTTTGCTGTGAATTTTTTTCTCAACGTCAGATTTCCTTTAACATTCGCAGTGACCTGAAGATTTCACGGCCTTTGTGGGCAAACCCTGTCGAAGTCTAGCCTGGGGCAATTTTGAGTTTAGTTGTGCCTAGGTTGACCCCTCCTATTTCTGTTTGCCAACCCCCCCCCCCCCCCCCTCATTCCCATCCCTCACGGTAAAAGCATTTGGCTTTACGCTCATGGACAATATAGATAAGAGCCGTTTTTCAGACCTGGAAAATTATTCCTCAATGAAGAAATCACGCATGATTAAAAAAAGAAATCACCAACTGTCTTCCTCCTAAGCTTCAATTAAGCTGATAAGAAAGGAGGCCGGGTCCAGACCCCAGGGACACCAGATCACTTACCACGACCCATTTTTCGCCCCCTCCCCAAATCTCCCAACCCCATGACCACAAGACACCAGACTAGTTTTTGAAACCAAGACTCGATACCGGTGATAAATGACATTGCTGCCCGGCAGGGATGTACATGAGAAAAAGAAAAAAAAACACCAGAAAAACGATTCGTCTTGAGGGAGTTGCTGATTGCTTCTTCAACACCCTGCAGCTACGAAGGGCCGATAATTTCAACGTTTGTCTTCTTTCTCAAAATTGATGGATTGAGTTTGAGGGGTGAAGCCACAAGTGCAGTACCCATGGGATGAGAGAGGTCCGAAACGATATCGCGTCGTGCCCAGCGGTTGGCCTGCGGGGGGTCACGGAGAAGACTAACTTGGCCGACAGGAAGTCGGTGCTTTTCTACTTGTCAACTCCAACCGGAAGTAGCAACTCTTGAATTAGCCACACACAGATTGAAATCATCATCTATGAAAGCGTGAAAGAGTCCGCTTGCTAGTTGAATCTTTCACAAAACTGAAAAGTTCTCCTTAAATCTCGGGGCTAATTTTCAAAGAACTGGTAAGCGGAAAAATCACAACAGATGTATGTGCTCCCCTGAAATGTGGTTGAGAACCAGTCACACACAGCGTACATCAATGACAATTCGGCTGGTAACCGGTCTGTGTTAAGCAAATACTTTCTGTGCTTTAACAGCTCAAAGAAATTTTGGTTGGTCAAGAAGGCTCTGGGCTCTGTTTCCCTAAAATCTTTGCATCTTTCTTCTAAACAGGAAATCCAGTTTTTTTCTCAAGAATCCGAAACAAGGTCAAACAATTTGATTTGAAGACCTATTTCAAGCATGCACTGGGAAGAAACAAAAAGAGAGAGAAATCCTTAGCTTCACAAGACTTTCTACAGAGTTTTTCAATTTTACATTTAAATGGTATAAGTGTGAAGTGAACGACGACAAAATCAACCGATCCGAGGAAAAGTTGCATGCCTGCTATTTGACAGCGGATCACTAACCACTCTCAGAATGTACGTGTGCAGTCTGACTCGTCTTGGGGTTCAACAATCACGGGCCTCCACTTTCAGTACTCTTTATTACTTTCAGCATATTTTGAAGGAAAAAAAAATTAAAAAACAGGATGGTAGTTTCTTGAAAGTACCTTCAAACTGATTGATTAAAAGGAGTGAGATGGTAAAAGCAAGCCCTCTACTTGACCTCCAAAATTGTGATGGAAGACGGAATGAGGAGGATTCGAGGAAGATCGTTTCTCTCCAAATCAAAATGACTGTCTTATGAACCAGGGCTGGAGTAGGACGATAGGGCACATCAACCTGTATTTAATTAGGTTCATAAGTTGACTGAATTGGGTACAACAATCACGTTCTCTGCTGGAGCTTTTGACACATCAAACGAGGGAAGGGCATTGGTCAGAACTTTTAAGAAATCAAAGATGTGTTTCTGATGACGTCGTTTTGAGGAATGCTTCTCGATAAACCCAAACAAGATAGTGCCTAATGGATCAGGAAGTAGGTGAATTTTATTTTTTGTTTCTTACTTATCTCCGAAGAGCTACTGGGTGAGTTGAGGGGGCGCTATGTGTTGCGGATGCCCAGCGCCTGTTCCAGCTCGGCCCGGCGTTGTTGGACTTTGCTGTAGAAGTAGCGTCGGACAGCTTCCTGGGCCCAAGGCTTGAAGTAGAAGTCACTGCGACGTTCTTCTTCGGGGTTTCCCACCACGTCCGTCATGGTCTGAAAATTGAGGGGAAAAAAAGAAAGAAAAAAAAGAACAAAGGATTTATTGACAAAGTCAGTGTTGAGATGATCTGATACACCGTGCCCTCTGGAGACGTGCACACAATAGGGAACAAAAGATTGTATAGGTCTCCACAGGGTTTTCACGAAATAGATATATGGATTTTATGCAAAAACCAGGAATTTCGAAGGTGGGTTTTAGAAAAGGGATATGAAGTCAGAATTTCAGCCACGGAAATTAATTCTGGTTAAAATAAGAGCATTTTGAAACTTCACTTTCAAACTTTCAAACTTTACTACACGAGAACAAAGAAATGTCTCCACAACGATACAAATTTCAGTTTAAGTGAGTTCAGCATAAGACAATCATAAGCCCGGTCACAAGAAAATCTCAAGTCAATCACTGTGGATCACAAGTCAAGCCACAAGTCTGGTCACAGACTCACAGGTACTGGGATGGGATGAACTAAATCAAAGGAATGGCTTTGCCACAGTTCATTTGAAAAGTTTGTGACTTGTCTTGGGACTGGAGGACTTGCGATGAACTTGCAAAGACTCATGGGAACTTGTCACGGACTCAACAACAACAAAACGCTGCTTTTACAGAGTGACAAATTTTGAGTTTACTGATAAATTGTTTTACCAGATTTTTTGGGGGAAATGATGTCGGATATGATTTACGTAATATCAGTGACGTGACAAGGATGTATTTTAGGGTATTAAGGATTTTAACTGACAGAAAAGTAACTGACAAATCCAAGAGGACCAGGAGCATGCCAATTAGTAAAGTCAGGAGTCAGGTTGGTGTAGAAGTTCTTTCCTCACCTTCCACCGCTGTGACCCGGGTTCGATTCCTGCCCAGGCCACATGTGGATTGGGTTTTCAGTCCCTACCTGATTCTGTGTTTTTTTCCCCCCAGAATATTCTTCTGGGGTTTTCCTCCCACCTCTAAAACTGTCATTTCTTCTCAATGTCTCCTCTCTACAGGTTTCTTCAAGTCACCTCGACTTCTCCTTGGACAAGCAAAACTGCCTTTTAGGAGTCTACACATCAAGCATAAAGTTTGCGAGCTACAGTGCCTAGGATGCTTTTGAGGAATCCTTGGTTTCATTACCAGAAAAAATTAACAATAAAAAAAAAACAAGAATGTTTGATGGCTTGAAAAGCCAATGTTGATAATTGCTGACAACACTTTCTATGCAATGTTATGAGGGAAATGATATAATTGAAGTCTGGTTTCTTTTGCCAAAAGTTTTTGACAGACAAATCTGTTGTTCTGACTCGGCAATAATTTCAGAGTTTTTTTCTTTCCCTTTCTTCCCCCTTCGCCTTTTGCCATATGAGATAAAACGTTCTGACTGTCCGTCCGTCGGGCTTAAAGCCGACTGACATTATTGCAGAAATCTACAGTGACTTCACGAGGCGTCAGCTCCGAAAGGCTTCGAGGTCTGCCTAAAAATACTCAAATTTAGCGGGATTAAGTGATTTCCTGTGTTTTGATAGCGTAACTCGGACCTATCAAGACGGTAAAATCACAGCCGAACAAGTTGGTGGCATCTGTCGCGAGTCGTTAGGCCTAGATAGCGTCCTTCCTAGACAAGTCAAATCTCCGCTAGGTTCTTTTATTTTTGTTTCCTTGGTTTTTTTTTTTTTTTTTTTTAAACTAGGTCAGGGTAATTTAGGGCAGTACGAAAACAGACGAAACAGAGTCACACGCAATGGTACAGGGAATTATTTATATAGAGCAGGGATCTAGGCTTGGTAAACTGCCACAAAACCAACTCTGTGAGAATTGGTTTAGTTACTTTCAAGTAAACTGACTAGTTAAGTTAGTTAAGGAACTAAAACACCCAGAACTGGGACTCTATTTAACTGACTAACCAGCTACCTAGCTATTTAATTAACTAAAATAACACCAGTTCTGGTAAAAACCCAGTAACTGGCTGGTTGGGTTAACTAAAATGAAACCAGTACTGGGACACTTGTTAATTCATAAACCAGTTGAATTACTGGTTTAAGTGAATGACACACAACCAGTGCTGGTACTCTAGTTAGTTAACTAACCAGTTTAAGTACCAGGTATGAAAGTAACTGGCTAGTTAAGTGTTTAACAGCAGAAACCAAGGTAACCCAGGAATATAGATCCGGTTTATAAGAAAAGAACTTAGCCCACATAAGGAAAGAAAAGAGACAATCTGGCACAAATTTTGGAAACTAAAATAAAGAGCAAAATCAACAAACGGGGGAAGGACCTTCTGAAAACCAGTTCCCCAGGAACTGGTTCCCAGCTGACGTTTGCTTAATACGAGAATTTGGCAAGCGACATTTATCTTTCTTCTGCTTAAAAGGTCTAATTGTCTGCTCAGCAGGGTTGTGTCGTGGAGGATACCTACCTTCAGATCCATGCTCTGTGACACCAGCCACTCGCTGATGAAGTTCTGCGGATCCCTGGCAAAGCCCAGCATGAACTCGCGCTGGACCTTGAGCTGGTTTATGGTCTCCACGGTCTCATGAATCTGAAAAAAAAAATAATAATAAACTTATCTTAAAATTCTATAAATTTGTAGATTCCGAGAACTCTTGGAATGGTAATGCTTTTCACTTCAACTTGGACACATTCTGAACGTGGAATCTCTTGTGAGGGACTATTTCAAGCTGGTGACCCGTTATTTTTTCTGTGCCAAGCAAGCTTCCATGATTAGCAGCTTTGGTAAAAATTGACCAGGGTTGTGGTGTTGAAACCTGAAAATAAAACGCACCTAGAATTTGAGGCCGCTGGGCAACATGTCCACCTGGATTTTTGGCGCCAAGTAGACGTTAAGACCCTAACCCTGCTGAATCCAACAGGATCCAACTATGTCATATACACGATGGGGCCTGTTGGATTGAGCAGTAAACTCTGGTGTACATTCCTGACGCAAAATGTTGGATTCAGCAGGCAACTGAACCGCATTATAATGCCAAGTTGGACCCCGTTGGATCTAGCAGACAACTGAAAATGAGGCACAGTGCATTGAGCAGGAAAGTCCGGTTGGACTCTGTTGGATTTAGCAGGGTAGTCCTGAGGAGGTAATAGGGGGTTAGGGATGTTTCAGGCCGTTTGTATTTTGTGGGCACTTGTACTTCATGAGGACAACTGGGTATGGGTACCACACAGGATTTGTAGTCATTTAGGCACTGTGGCCACCTGACCATTCATGTTTTATCCGTGGCCGTCTCCAAAATGTGGTCATTTGGGCATTGCTAGAGTGAATCAATTGTGTACCCAAATGGGAATCGTTGCCACCTTGTCTCTGGCTGCCTGGTTATTTGGGCTAAACTGGCTAACTCTGGCTAAACATTCAGGCCAAGTAAATTTTACGGCCAAAACATTGGAGTCCATTGGCACACCACTGGCTGATGACTGAAAAATGATAAATCATTTCTGGCATGACACACGGGCCAAACACAAACATGACTGAGCCCATGTCAGTTCCCGGGGAGGCATCGCAGCCCACATTGTCATCTTGCATACTCTATGCTGGCGTTGATGTCTTCTTCAACTATGAGCTCCAAGGTCAATGGCGTGATTGCAATTTCCGCTGCTATATCATGTTTTATGTCAACTGTTTATTAAAAAAAAAAAAAAATGACACAACAGATGGCCGGGGTCTTCAACCCAGATACAAACGTGAATTGCAGAAATTTCATACTTGAGATTAATCAAAAGTTGCATACTTTCAATGCCATGGATGATAAAAACTTGTGGGAATCTCATTCCTGCGAAATGTGAGAGGTCTGAACATCTAATGGGTGGAACCAAGTAAATAGGCCAAACATTTGTCAATTGTTATATATTCAAATTATTCTATATTAGAGAGTTTTGCGAGCCGTGGATTTCGTGGATTGAAGACACATGGCACTGCACCTCTGGCCTGGACTTGGGGTTTTCAAGTCTGAGCATTTCGGATGCAATGGGGTCCGAAAGTGCCGTTATTTAGCCATGTTGTGAAGGGATCCTTTTTTCAAAATGGCTACTTTTCCAGTTTGGGAATTATCAAATGTTTTATGGGCGGTCTTCTTTGGGTGAGAATTCTCCAAAAAGTCATTGGTCAACCCACCAAAAAATTGAAGGGAAAATGAAAGACGACATGTTGATCTTCATTTTTCTGCGCAGCCTGAACACCTGTCCCCAACCCCTATCCCCCATTAGACACACGGCTACATAGTCGACCTGTGACATGATGGCATCACGCTTTGTTTAGAGGAGGGGTCGCTGGTCACAAAGCTCCCATAAAAGAAAGCGCACTAAAGCAAAGTGCGACGTCATTACTTTTCAAGTACATAATTGCTGCTGCCAATCACAGATTTTCCGCCAAGCTCAGGAGAGCAGCCTAGCTTTATAGCAAAAACAGATTACCGGCCAAAATTTCATGCAATCTATAGAGCTGTTGACTGGTACTCTGCCCGCATCTGCTCAGCACAAAAGAGTTCCTGAGCAGGACTTTCCAGCTGGCCCATGCTTACTGGGTTACAGGATTCCCTGTTGTGTCCCTGTGAAAGATCGTTTACTAGAACTGACAACGACCGGCCGAAACTATAATTGTCCCGGAAACAACTCCGAAAATATAGGTCTGATTGACTTGTCACATGCGGCTGTAATTTTTTGTTTGGCCTTGGCGTGCTGTGATAACTTATTATCCTTCCCCAACATATTTTGTTTTTAAGTCGACAGCCGCTAGCGTCAGCTGCCAATATCTTAATGAAGATGTCAACTTAAACATGACTGTGCTGTAAAACTGCTGTTCATGAATGTATCCATATTTTTTGGTTTGTTTGTTTGCAGAAGAAAGGCCTCATGAAGGAAAGGTTGATTTCTACATTGATTCATGCTCTGCAGGGAAAGGGAATTTATAGGGGTGGAAGACACAGTTCAATGGGGGTGTTTGAAAAGGGATACCCTCAAACATAAGAAAGATTATTGGAAGATGTTAAGTTCTCTTTTCGGTTGAACAAAGAAAACGAAGTTGGACTCAACTTTCGACCCCCGGAATGCCACACGCATAGAATTATGAAGTGTTGTCTCTGTGTCATTTTCTTTAGTCTATCTGTAGGCAATGTCTTAATTAGTTTTGTGAGAATTTTTTTTAAAATCAAGTTTTGCACGGCAACTGAATTCTACAAACATGTAACGACTCAAAAATAAATTTTGCTAGATCGCATTTTGTCCGAGCACTTTTTGTGCCGAATGTCTCCCTCTTTTTGGACACCCAAAGTTGCCGATCGACGGAAAGTTGTGAAGCTTAACATGAAACCTGCCGGGCGTTGCCAGAAAAACTCTAGGCGTAGCAGGCTAAGCCCTCGTAAAAATGGATCCGACGGCGACAACAGGCTCAAGTTTGAAGCGCAGCTGACGAGCCGCGGCCAGTGCGGCTGTTCGCCGGCCAGAACGTTCACGACTTGTCATGATAATGATGACATCCTGGCCAGTCACGAAGGTGTCAGACGAAGGGGGATTAGGCAGAATGGTTCCGAAGCGACAGGACAGGAAACAATTTTCGTCTAACGGTCGGGGGACTTTTTGGACGGTGACACAGACTGTTTTCCAAGAGATGCATTAGGTATCTTTTTGCCCGAATCCTGGGGTATTAACAGTCAGTCTCGGTTCAAGACTGTTACTCCTACTCGACGCATTTTGAAACGCCTTTTGTTTCTTCTCTGGATTGTATTCTTAAACTGTGTTTAAGTGTACAACAGCCGCTGGATACAGACTGGATACAGACTTTGTTGCCCTTATACAGCCGGTCCGTGACAACAAGATGAATCAAATCCAGGCTTGGCAATATTGGCAGCGCTACCCAGGAAATTCCGAGCATACCTCACGTTCGCTGCATTCAAGCTAATGCATGCACGTGAGGCACGTGAGGTATACTCGGGTTTTCCTGGGTAGCGCTGCCAATATTGCCAAGACTGGATATGATTCATCTTGTTGATAGCGACCTCCACCGCCGCGACAAAGTTAATCGCAAAATAGAAGAATAAAAATGTAGTTGCTCCAAACTGTTTCAAGTGACAATTTTCTCATGAACTTGATTCTGATCTTGGAAACAATTTGATTTTGGTCACAACTCTAGAAATGCCAGTCTCTAAAACGGGTGTTGGGCAGCACCTTGTTATCTAGGGTGGCAATGGGTGTTGGGCAGCACCTTGTTATCTAGGGTGGCAATAGGTGTTGGGCAGTACCTTGTTATCTGGGGTGGCAATGGGTGTTGGGCAGTGCCTTGTTATCTAGGGTTGCAATGGGTGTTGGGCAGTACCTTGTTATCTAGGGTTGCAATGGGTGTTGGACAGTACCTTGTTATCTAGGGTGGCAATGGGTGTTGGGCAGTGCCTTGTTATCTAGGGTTGCAATGGGTGTTGGGCAGTACCTTGTTATCTAGGGTGGCAATGGGTGTTGGACAGTACCTTGTTATCTAGGGTGGCAATGGGTGTTGGGCAGTACCTTGTTATCTAGAGTGGCAATGGGTGTTGGACAGTACCTTGTTATCTAGGGTGGCAATGGGTGTTGGGCAGTACCTTGTTATCTAGGGTGGCAATGGGTGTTGGACAGTACCTTGTTATCTAGGGTGGCAATGGGTGTTGGGCAGTGCCTTGTTATCTAGGGTGGCAATGGGTGTTGGGCAGTACCTTGTTATCTAGGGTTGCAATGGGTGTTGGACAGTACCTTGTTATCTAGGGTGGCAATGGGTGTTGGGCAGTACCTTGTTATCTAGGGTTGCAATGGGTGTTGGGCAGTACCGGTACCTTGTTATCTAGGGTGGCAATGGGTGTTGGGCAGTACCTTGTCATCTAGGGTGGCAATGGGTGTTGGGCAGTACCTTGTTATCTAGGGTGGCAATGGGTGTTGGGCAGTACCTTGTTATCTAGGGTGGCAATGGGTGTTGGGCAGTACCTTGTTATCTAGGATGGCAATGGGTGTTGGGCAGTGCCTTGTTATCTAGGGTGGCAATGGGTGTTGGGCAGTACCTTGTTATCTAGGGTGGCAATGGGTGTTGGGCAGTGCCTTGTTATCTAGGGTGGCAATGGGTGTTGGGCAGTACCTTGTTATCTAGGGTTGCAATGGGTGTTGGACAGTACCTTGTTATCTAGGGTGGCAATGGGTGTTGGGCAGTACCTTGTTATCTAGGGTTGCAATGGGTGTTGGGCAGTACCGGTACCTTGTTATCTAGGGTGGCAATGGGTGTTGGGCAGTACCTTGTCATCTAGGGTGGCAATGGGTGTTGGGCAGTACCTTGTTATCTAGGGTGGCAATGGGTGTTGGGCAGTACCTTGTTATCTAGGGTGGCAATGGGTGTTGGGCAGTACCTTGTTATCTAGGATGGCAATGGGTGTTGGGCAGTGCCTTGTTATCTAGGGTGGCAATGGGTGTTGGGCAGTACCTTGTTATCTAGGGTGGCAATGGGTGTTGGGCAGTGCCTTGTTATCTAGGGTGGCAATGGGTGTTGGGCAGTACCTTGTTATCTAGGGTGGCGATCTCCTGCTGGCTGGCCGTTGACAACAGGAAAGACTTCATCTGTTCCTTGAGGGTATCGTCCTGTGGGAGAAAATCAATAGGCTAAGGGGTTAATTCACGATATGCTTTAAGCACAGTAAATACTTGATTAGCAATTGCACCTGTTGTGATTACATGAGCATTTTTAAGAACAAAATTGCTACTTTACAATGTAAATCATTAGTATGCGTACTAAATTGTATTACATTGTATTTTTTCCCCAGAAGAATCAGTAAAACCATATAGTTCATAGGTGTTTTTTAGGCAATACCGTAACAGGAATGGCGGTTTGGGGTGGCAAAGGGACTATAGCAGCGGCGTAACCAATGGGAGGGGGTCCCCCCCCCCCCCCCCCCCCCGAAAATATTTTAGTAGTCCTTTTTCCATGAGCAGCCTTCTTTTCACCAAGGGTGGATCCAGAAAACAATCAATTCCCCCCAAAATTTTTGGATTCTAGAGGGAGGCCATGGCCCCCTTTCCCCCCCCCCCCCCTCCCCCTGGATCCGCCCTTGCTTTTCACAAGGGCCCCTTTTTAACGTCACGCAAACATTTTTAATTGTGCCGCTATGAAGAGCTCCACCTATTGTTTGATAGTGTCCGCTTTGAAGGGCGCCCCCATGGGAAGATGGTATCCACCACCCCCCAACGACCTTAGTGTCCACTGAAGTAAAAATAAATATCCCAAAGCGAAAAAAAAAAATTGCATCTAATGAGGCAAAACTGAAAGGCAAATCGACACGCTTCGATGCGTCGGTCAAGTCTGCCGACCGAGGTGAGCATTCTAGGCCAGGACAAGCCATATTTACACATCCGTCCATATTGACAAAACACCTGTGACTTTTGTGAGTTTTTTACAAATTTTTACTGCATTTGCTGCATCACATTTTCTCCAATTCCAAACCAGAAGTGACGTTCAAGTTGCTTCACCTGTGATCTTCAACATTATTGATTTTATTTTCTTCTCCTAACAAAAATTCAATCTGTCTGTTTTTTTATTTAAACTGAAAAACTACACTTTTCTTTTTTTACACGTTTTGACCTCTTTGAAAATACGCTTTTATTTTTGGGCTGCTTTCACGCCCATAATGCACAAAAAAAAATACGGTTTGATTTTTATCGGGCTGCAAACAAATCAAGACGCAGATCTCTGGAAGGGGGGTGTCTTGGGGGTAAAAAACAAACTCAGCTCTGTCAAAAAAAATTTGTCATAGAAATTCAACAACAAAAAATGCAAACCACCCCCCCCCCCCTCCCACTGCCACCCCCAAAAATATACTTGTAATAATGTCCGCCTGTATACAAAATACGGACAGAGCCAGCTTGGTTAGGGGGTATTTGTATACTATTCTGTAATATACTGTTAATAATCGTCGGACTTGAACAGCGGCCCCATTGAAAGTATGGTACGACCCTTCTTTGTTGATGAAAAACCCCCCTTAAAAATTCCTGGATCCACCCCTGAAATCGAAAGTTGTAAATTATTTATTCCACAACTGAGCACACGATAAGTCTTTTCGTTGATGGTTCATTCAAAAGTGAATACATTTTGTATTGATAGAAACAATTTTTTAAAACAAAATCTATTTTTTCAGGGTGAAACTCGAAAAATAGCACAGGAAGTAAGAGACAAAAAACAAATCAACAAATTTCAACCCAAAAAATCAACAATTTATTAAAAAAATTGGATGGGGCAACCGGAGAAGTTCGTCACATTTGGAATTGTCATTAGTTTCTGAACCATGGACTGCAAAACAAACAACCGCAGGACTCGGTCAGGACTATTTATACACCTAAAAAAAAAAAAAAAAAAAATTGTTTTTCCGGAAGATTGCAAATTTTTAAAGGCACTGCAGGCCAAGCGTAGCTGCACAGGCCGTCGGATAACTGCAGGATGACACCGATATTGGAAGCGATAACTTGGGAAACAGAGCGTGGCACCTCCAAGCTGGGCAGGGTTTGTAATTATGACGACTGACGCAATGGAAAAAACACAAAAATGAAACCATTATCAGGACACGCGTACACAGTGCAATTTTAGCATCAAGGACGATGTTCATTTTTAAAACGGGCTTTGCCCTTCGCTTTAGTAATTCTATGTTGGCACTGTATACCAGAAGGCCAAATTACGGTCAGACGTCAAACGTTTGTCTACCATTCACTGACCATTAATCATCTTAGCCAAACAGTTTTCAAACTGAAAGGGAATTGTAAGTGCATGCGGCACCTAAAAATAGATCATTCTTTGTTTCTTTTATTTCACAATTCAAGGATAATTACAAAAAGGGCAAACTCTGAGCTGAACTGTGAATGATCAGTTTAAAACTGTGTAGGCTTACCCAGCGGAATTAGCGTTTCATAATTTCACTGTTACAAAAACTTTTGCTCTCACTATCAAGGGGTTGGGGGGGGGGGGGGCTAAGAACCAGTTTTTGGCATGTGAAATATTCGACCACTAATGACCATATTTTTGATTAGCAATTTTAACGACTTGCTTGTCTGATACGCGAGAGTATTTATTTTTTTTTAATTGGCCGAATGAGATAACATTTTAAACAGTTCAAAGTTTCTTAATGGGGAGAAAATAGGTTATCAGAGATAAAAAAAAAAAAAAAGTTCGCGGCTTCTTTTGTTTTACTTTGATTTGTCCACGACAACCACAAAAGTGATAAAAAAAATAATTATTTCTGATTGCAAGGCTGTTTCTCTAGGTCATTGGTGGCCTATTCCTATTTGTTTGTGGGGATGTATGACATAATACAAGTGGTATTGTAGAAGAAGAATTTAGAATTAAGAATTGCTTCCATCTTGTGAGAAGTGGTTGAAAGACTTGGATGTATGGTGCCAAGTTTGCTAATCCCAGTCAATTCAATCTTCAACACTTTGAACTTCTGCTCGCACTTTGCACCAGCAAAATGCTGCTACAATAGACCCTTCCTGTCCGTCATTCAATCAGTGGGCAATGACCAATGAAATCACCAGATTTTAGTCAGGTGACCACGGTAGCTCTGTAAAATCTCAGTCAGTGGGTGGGGTTTAGGGCCACATCTGGGATGGTCCATTGTTTTCAGCAAATGACGGCTGAACTTGGATCCTTGGGGTCTGACCACATATTTTGCATGAAGTGGTAGAAAACTCAGCTTGAGTCACCTTGATTTGCTCCATTTGGATTGCCAGTCCTCCCCTTTTTTAGATAAATTCTTGAGAGATATATGCGAGTGCGGGGGAGGGTGTAAAGATTTCAGCGTGGGAGTATTGCAGCCAGCTTAAAGCCTGACTGTCCGAGAGACAGGAAATGAGCGCTGAAGCACGGCAGGTGACTCCAGTCCGGATGCCGTCTACGGAGGGCTTTGACTTCACAAATCGCCATGATTTTCTTTTCCTTTTTTTCCTTTAATTTTGTGGTTAACGGGTGTACAATGCAGGGCTGGGGGGGGGGGGGGGGGGGAGGATGAAGAATCGGTGACAGAGGAGTGCTGAAATGAAAACACAGGAAAAGAGCCATGGATTTTGTTTGGCTAGAAAAATGGGTTTTGGACAAGAGGGAGGCAGGAATGATATCGGTGGCAATCTGGAAGGTCCATTGAGTCCAGGGTTTGACGTCATATAAGCTGCTTAGCGTAACTCTGGACTTCTATCTTGTCAGTTGGCTATTATACATGCATGTAGATGTTATAAGTGAAATTGATTAGCACTTGCATTAATGCTTAGCCAAACTTATCTGCTCAGCTGTTAATTCTACTTAAGTAGACTTTTTACGGTATGTGGTTTCTAACACCTTTTTAGTGGACTTTATTTCAGATGCTGTCCGGAAATACAAATCGGTGTTTGATTTTGCTGTATTTCTTTTGAATAACAATTCTTTATTTTTTGATGGATTTCCTCTCACATGTGGGATTTTGCACGAACTGTAAAATGGGTTAATTCTAGTCATGCATCAGTTACACATTTCTTGGCGCTTTAATCTTTTTTTAAAAGTATGACCTTGAAAAGAGTCGGTGATATTTTCCAAAATTAACTTTCGCAATTAGCCGTATCCGATGACCGGATTTCAGCAAATCAAACATGAATTTGAGTACTCGGAGAAAACTCCAATGCAGCAAAAACTGTAACTTTTCCCTTAAAATTTCTCACTGGCATAATAGCATTGACAGAAAAGTTGGAGCAGGTATGTTTTCCGTGCCTTGTACTTTTACCTTGGGAATTAGCAACAAACTTTAAAGTGATCACCTCATTAAAAAAAAAAAAGACATCAGAGTTTCCTTCGGGCTACTGCCCATGTGGCCAATGCCCCGCAAAAAAAAACAAAGTCGGGCACATCATTAACCTTTTGTGTTTATCTACAATTTGTCTTGACGCTAATTGGCTCACGGCTCCAAGGAACAGGTGATTCGCAGAAACAACCACCGCTCTGTTCCGCCTACTCCTTCCTGCGCGCGGGGAACGCGCCGTCAATTTTGTTTCTTTCCCCTGAACGGTAATAGCCGGTGTCCGTACTTTCCCACCTGCACGCTAAATGATCGATTCCTGTTGGTTTGTACGAGATGAATGGACACGGGGCGCCAGTCAGTCTAGCTCGGCGGCGGTGAAGACACCTGCCAAAGACGGGAGGAGGGAGGGGGGGGAGGTGGGGGGATGTTGGGGTCAGTCAAGGATGCGATTATGACTAGAGTGTGTCCTTGACTGGACAGGCTGAAGAAAGAAGAGTTAAAGGGAATGTGCAACATTTGCTTTTGCTGCAGTTTTCAGAAATAAATGGATTTGGAGGATGAGTATGCTATGCAAATATTGTTAAAATGACTTATTTTGTGATAATTTGATCATTTCGTTTTGTAATGTTTGCAAATGTTGTATCTTCCCTTTAAAGGGATTCTCATATTAAAGACTCTGTGAATGCCATTGCTGGAGTGTGTCTGCACCCATACAAAGAACTACATGATAGAAGAAGCAAGCATAATCGAAGATTTAAAAATAAATCTCCCAAAAAATGATGAGTAATTCTGTTGTGATATTTGCTCGGATGTCCTGAAAAAAAAATATGCAAACTCACTACGTGTCATTAAAAAAAAGCCAGCAACAGAGGATGTTATCGGTATAGCTTATGATCCAAAATGGGGGAGACATTTCAATCGCATAATTGGATGCGGCACTAGCGGTTGTTAACAACTGCTGCGCTGGATTGGTTGAAAGACTGTATGTGATATTGCATTGTGTACAGTCAGGTTACAGCAGGCTGAGAAGGGGGTGGGGTAGGGTTTTTTTTGGAAGGGGGGATTTGGACTAAAAAAAAAAAAAAAAAAATCAAGGCCCGACTTTGTGACTCTGTTGCAAGCGGAAATCCTCACTTACGATAAGCGCCCCGATGGAATATAATTAATTTTGTGACAATCATGTTAAAAGTTTCCACTAACATAAACTCGTCAAAAGGGTGCTACATGTAAGTATGGTTGTATTAAAAACAGATATATGCAAGTCTTGAAACACACTTAGTTTGTGAAATAACTTAAAGTGAAAACATAAACAAAAGCTTTGGTTCCCTTGGTCTGGTGACTTCGATGAAACAAAACAAATAAGCAAAATGGAGAGTAGAATCCTCTTTAAGCTTCCGTTGACTTGTGGGTCAGGTAACGTCGGGGACGAAATAAATGGGGAAAAATACAACTCAGGATGTAAGAGTAAGGGGCTACGCAAGCATTTCTTGCCCAGTGTCAATCCACATGCTAGTCGGAGATAGCGTGCATCGAGGCGTGAACACCCACAAAGAAGAAAAATCATGAATGGGCAGCAACGCTGAAGACTATTGATCTGAGCATTAGGGACAGGTTCAACGCACGTTCATTGCCCTGGTGAGAGATAACGAGAGGGACCTTTTGGAGAGAGACGCAGTCTAAAGGGGAGGGGGGAGGGGTGGATTACGCTGAACAGAGAGACGAAAGGATCACGGTCTTCCCTTCCAATGCACAAATTTCACGAGCTGTTGGGGCGATGTCGGACAACCGGCGACAACGCGGCGCCACGAGCTTCTGCCTGAGGGCAACCTGTATGTTTTGAAAAGACGGCAGTCATTTTTTTTTTGATTCACTGGGTTTTTTTTTACAGTTGACACAACATCCATAGAATGGCCAACTTGCCACGCCAGAAAGCCATTGATCTCAGATTGACTTGAAACAAACGGCCGGCATTCAAATCAACTTTGAAGAAATGGGCTGATTAACTCGTTTCCTGATCAAATTCATCCAAATGTGAGTTTGAAAGGAAATTGATGGTGTACGCGGAAAAACTAATATCAGTTATGATAATTACAAACACTCACACGGCAACGGAACTAAGTAGTCCTGACTTCCTTCAGATATTGAAAAAAAGAATACAGTCCTAAAAGTTTTTGGATTACAAGCAAATATAAGTTATTCACAGACGGAACTTCATCTTCAAATCGTACGCCTCCAAGCAAGTGCAAAAACTGCCAAATCTGCAAACATACGCAAACATACATGCCACTTTTTTTCCATGAAAGAAGAATTTGTGCCAACACCTACTGTTGTTCTCCCTGTTGCGTGGTGCACTGCTGATATTTTTCTTTTAAATTTCTATGCCCTTAGGGCCAATCTGTTGTGTTCTGAATGAGTAAGTTATTTACTTATGGACTGGCCGACTGAGTCACTGAGTGTCAAGAATGTCCCAAGCCGCCACCGCCGTCAAACTCTCAGTTCCAGCTCGACTTGACAAGTGATCAATTCATGTCTATTTTGCTCTTGGACTGAATTTACTTACGACTTCCACATCGATGTCGTAGCAGGCCGTCTTCTTCTGCTCGGCTGTGTCCACGTTGATGGTGTGCTGGATGACAATGGGGTCTGGGGCGTGAAGCAATTGGTGCAATCGCTGGGGTATTTCCGAAAACTTCATCCGCCCACAGTCAAAGATCTGAATCAGGAAGGTGAGAAGAGTAAACATTAAATCTGATTCATAAAGTTGACACCTGACATGCTTGAACAATTTTTTTTAGAGCTGCAAGGCATAAAAACACTGCTTAGCCAATTGAAGTTCTGAGTGAAAATAAGTCAAGGGACCGATTAAATGACCAAAACAAGAAAACAACAATTCCAACTTTCTACAAATATTCTGAGGGAAACCTGCAGGGTTACAACCAAAATAGTCCGGTGCCAATTATGGAGTCATAGTGATTTTGTGCTATGTTGCGGAGGAAACTAGACCAAGATGGCCTCCTCCACTGCCAAACTGCTGGAAGTACTAGTCATTGTTGATGTACTCTCTTGTTGGATTCCAGCAAGATCTAAATTAGTCTGGTGAAAAAGACTTAGTCATAGTGATTTGTACAACGAAATTGCGAAAACTAGACCAAGATGGCTTCCAATACCAAACTGCCGGGAGTACTAGTCATTGTTAATGTACTCTCTTGTGGGATTCCTGCAAGGTCTAAATTAGTCTGGTGCCAAAGACTTAGTCATAATAATTTGTACAATGAAATTGCGAAAACTAGACCAAGATGGCTTCCAATACCAAACTGCTGGAAGTACTTGTCGTTGTTGATGTTCTCTTGTGGGATTCTTGCAAGGCTTCAATAAGTCTGGCGACAAAGACCAATTCATGGTGATTTGTACAATGTAATTGAGGGGACTAGACCAAGATGGCTTCCAATACTAAACTGCTGGAAGTACTTGTCGTTGTTGATGTTCTCTTGTGGGATTCTAGCAAGGCTTCAATAAGTCTGGGGACAAAGACCAATTCATAGTGATTTGTACAATGTAGTTGAGGGGACTAGACCAAGATGGCTTTCAATACCAACCTGATTGAAGTACTTGTCATTGTTGATGTACTCTCTCTCGTGGGAGTCCTGCAGGGAGTGGGTCTTTATGTACTGCCACAGGGCGTTGATGATAACTGGGCGTGTCTGGGTGTGGACACCCAGAAGGCGTGCCAGGCGGGGGTCCAGCTTGTACTGGGGTGGCTGTGCAGGTGTGGCAAGTGGACGAAAAGGTTTGCGATAGAAGAATGACAAGAAAAAAAAGTAGAGGTTAGCAACTTTCGTCCCAGTTTCAGGCCAACTCTTCATCCTGCATTCTTCTGGAATCAATGTTGTCTCGAGTGACAGGAAATGAGGAGGGGAAGAGATTAATAACTAATCAATAAACACCTGTTGCTCTTATCAGAAAAAAAACCCAATATATAAATAAATAAAAAACAAGTGTATTGGATTACTGACCATTTCAAGTTGGTCAGTGACCCTGATTCTTTGCGGTGAAGGGGAATGCTTTGCCAATGTAAAGGAAAGACAAACTCATTTTAATAAACTGAAGATTTTCTTGGGGGGGGGGAGGAGGGGTGTGACAACTGCAGTCATTTCTTTAAGAACCCGATTTTTCAGAAAAGTACGGACTCAATGAACGGACTTATTTTGTCTGTCCGGAATGTGGTTTCGAATTTTGGTTTTATCTTTGTATCATTATCTTTCCCTCAAATTGCTGCGGTTTCTGACATGGCTGAGCCCCTTTTGATAACATTTCAGACAGTAATTAAAAGGTCATTAATACACAGCTATCATTTGATACCGTTATTATCTGATACTTGCAAAAGAAATTTCCAAATGACCAGCATTTGAAAGATATCTTTCACTGACAGAAGTGTTTACCCAAGTGGGAAAAACCCCTGATAGTTCGAATTTCGGATGGTTGAAGTATTACATTAAACAGTCATCAAAATACCAGACGAAATAATCAATCTCTATCTGTATCACCGTTACTTCCAAATGCAAAAAGATTAATTAATCAAAACAGGAATGATGAATTTTGGAAACTACTTTCTATGGCCTACCAACCTCCCAGCCCAAATCTTGAAAGACGGGCCAGAGAAATCAAGATCATGTTTTCCCTGACAAAACAACAGAAAAACAAACAGCGCTCGACAGCCGTGGAGACAAACGAGCTTGCGGACGGACTGACAAAGACCGTCAGCCCAAAAGGGAGAAAAAAAAGAAAGGGAAAAGAGGGAAAGGGGGGGGGGGCATCAACAGAGGGTAATTTGGGCCGCTGGGGTCGGGCAACGGGTCAGGAAAATAGATCTATTGGGCTTCAACGCGCCCCTGATTTGGTAATTGATTGTGTAAGGGGGCGGAGGGTTCATGGGGTGTTACAAAAGGGTCATGTTTGTTGGTTTAATGGCTATTTATTAGTGTCCCGTCCACCCGTTTTCAGGTGAACAGCCTCCAGACCCCTACCCCCATCTGGAAAAAAAAAAAATAACAGAATAAAAAAGGATTGAATTTGGAAAGTAGAGATTTATGATTTCAATAAGTGGAATGACTTCATTTTTTTTTTTTTTTTAATTTCTGGCTTGTGACCAGCCGAGCAAAGACCGCCGGTACAGGATAACTCGGCCCCAATTCTTGTCCAGGAACGCAAAGGATTGTGGGTTAACGACACAACACTGACGTATCTATCACTTTGAAACCTGATAGATAATTGAGTTGGTAAAGCATTGGATTAGTAGCTAACATGGTTCGTATTCAAAGGCTTCAAACAGTATCACCCTTTAAAGGGAATGTACAACATTTGCTTTTGCTGCAGATTTCAGAAATAAATGCATTTGGAGGATAAGTATGTTACATGTATAGCAAATATTGTTCAACTGACTTGTTTCACGTTTTGGGCTGGTAGATGCTGGAAAAACATAGAAAACCAATCATGTTCTTGTAGTCTGGTTCCCAGACCCCACTTAAGATGAAACAGAGCAGTTTGTAGACTTTGGGGAATTGTAAGGTCAAAGAATCAGTCTAGCAGGCTTGTACCCCTTCGCAGGTGTGTAATCAATTGCAAAGAAAATGCGGAATAGCTAAATATGAAATACTAGGAGCAGTTTTTGAAGAAATTTTTTTTTCCAACGCTGGTCGGCCGACCAGCGTTGGAAAAATACAGTTTTTCTTGAAAATGTCAGCACATCAGGAGCCATGATTTTACAGGATGCTTTAGACTGTCATTCCCTAACAATTCAGTAAGGTATTTCGTGATAATTTGATCACTTCGTTTTTTGATGTTTGCAAATGTTGTATCTTCCCTTTAAAGCCAAAAATTCTGTTTTGCATGTTTTAAACTTTGGCTCTCTCTCCAGCTTTGGATTTAGGCTTTGGCTCCGTGAATTTTTAATAGGCTCAATAAAATAGACTCTCCGGCTCGACAAATCATCTGTAACTAAATTTTCAGCAACGGAAAGAACATTTCACTGTTGTGAGGCAATAGTGAGTACTATCGTTTGATATTTGGCACTAAACAGGATCAAAATGATTGCGGAGTGTTAGATGGAGCCAAAGCTGGAGCAGAGGCCAGAATTTCGTAAATGGCTGATGTAGTAACAAACCTGATGGTCCAGCAGGAGCAACAGCGTGCATTTGACGTTCTCGCTGCCTGGTCTCTTGACCTGAAAACCGTCTGTTTCCGTGGTTGTGCTCGTACGGTGCCACTGGAAGGTGGAAGTTGGGGAGGGGGGGGGGGAAGTAGGCAGAAGGGAAGGGGGCATGGACAAATTATGAAAATATTGGAGAAAGGATGGAGAAAAGGAAAGAATCAAGAGGGGGAAAAGATACAAAAATGTGTTATTTAGGTAACATGACACACACAACTGTCTTCATTAATTATTAAGTACAGTTAATATCTGTAGTTTTAGAATATTTTTGATTCCCCCCCCCCTTTTTCAAGTAGACAAAAGCTTTACTTTTGTTGATATCTGATGTATACGTTCTTATTGGATTGTAAATTTTGAGAAGGCTAAATTATACTTCTAATTTTCTTCACTTCAACCACCCTTTTCCCTAATTCTTTGAAAAAAGGATGTTAGTTTTGTTGTAGGTTTTCTTCCCCCCCCCCCTTTATGCAGGTCAACACTCAGCTAGAGTAAGTAACGGGCCTCTAGAGCTTGGCTGCAAAAACACTGCAAGAATTACAGAATTACAGGTTTGTAAAAGTCCCAATAATTGCCAAGCAAGCCTCGAGCTTCTTCCCCAGCTGCTATAATTGGGGATTACGTCAACTCCCAAGAATAAACCCCCAAAATATACCAAAGATAAAAACAATACGTGGAAAAGAAGACTAAAGTAAACTCAACAAAACTGGGGCAGTGCCCCAGTTAAAAACAACGGGAGCTTGCCAAATGACAATTCAACGGTTCATTTTTTTAGTACGAAAAAAAAAGGACTTTGTACTTTAGAAAGAGGGAATATCAAAATATTCATGTGACGTTAATTGCGGCACTCGGAAAGTCAAGTGTTAAGTAGGCGGTTGCAAGCTTTAAATAAAAATATAAATCTCAGAATGACACAAGGTGTTTTGATGGCCGAAATCTCGGAGCGGGGGTGTTGATCGGGGTGTTTGGAGGGGATAATGGGGCACTAATTGCAATGAAGCGTGTAACGCTTCAGACTCGTATTTTTTGGGCACTTGATTGTGAAAAACACGGAGGTAATAACCGTACAATTGGGTCGGTTAAACGTTGCTTTTATACTGAAGTGTTTGCGATGACGTCGTGTGATTTGGATTCCGTCACTGCGGTTGTGGAAGTTGAGGGAGGGGGCGTGTTTGAATAAGAAAGTCCCTTCACAGTGCATGCGTGATTCCGAGGAGGAGTAGATAAAAGGCTGCAAATATTTTGCAAGCTGTTTGGCAAAAATGTAACGTTTTTGTTCTTCATGAAAGGGAAATAATCCCAGAGAATATACATGTATTTACAAGTTTTTTTTGCTGATTAACTTACATACATATTTGTGAAGCACTGTGGACACTTGAAAACTAAAGAATTGAAGACAATTTTGCTTGATAATTTTTGTTCGGTGCGCAAAGAATTTGGGACAAATTTTTAGAAAATGAACATTTATCTTTTCGAATCCCATTTTCAAAAACGAATTTGAAATGCTACACACAAAAATGGTAGCAAAGCGATAAGAACGTTGCAAGCATATCATTTTCGTTTGTTATCGCACTGCCAGAGAAATGGAGGGCAAATTATCCTTTTCTTTTTTATAAGACTGTTCTCATTTTTGTGTGGCCTTGTCGACCTTGTTCGAATTCCTCCACCTCATTTCAAAGCAGGAAGGATTTACTTCCTTTTTTTAGCCCATATATAAACCCAAAAGATCTGAACCGAAAACTGAGGGGGAAAAGTTCATCGAGGTGCTAAGCCTAGAAATTTGCTAAGCACAGAAAATATACGCTTAGCAAAAACTGGTTATCAGCCAAAATATCATGCAATGTGTATTGCTTGTGACTAATATTCAGCCGACTTTTGCTTAACACGCAAATCTGCTTAACGGTATTTTCTGGTGCACAAATAATTAATGTTTATGAGTGCAATGGTAAGAATAATGCATGCTTATTAGTGCAATGGTAAGAATAATGACTGCTTATTAGTGCAATGGTAAGAATAATTTCATGAGGTGACAGAATGTTCCATTCCACTAGATGAAGCCGAATGGAATGGAACATGTCATCTGTTACCAAATGAAATTATTCTTTCCATTGCAAGAACCTGAATAAATCCTCGTCATCTGATTGGTCAGAGCCACCAATAATGTGACCGTGCAATGGAACGTCCATTACCGTGGAATAAAACTTCTATTTTTTGCAGTATGGCCGTGCTATGGGTTGGGACGAATAATTCAATGACATGTGATCAACGACCAACCAATCAGATAACAGGGATTTATTCAGGCGTTGTATAATGAGCAATATTCTCCACTAGGCAGCTGAGTGAAATTGCGCTCTCACCCAATGCAAGTAACTACTCATAAGTAACTCAAAATCTTAACTTAAAGCTTGTTTCATACTTCGTAGGCGAAAGGGAAGCAAATCTGATGACGAGAAACATTCACTACAAGAGTTGAAAAGCCTTCAACTTTTTGCAAATTCGCAGTGTGAATACTCGCCGTGACGTCCCAAATTCACATTCACGTTGGCTTTCCCGTTAAGTATGAACCCAGCCTTTACAATGACATGACAACAATAATCTGTGATACTGTTAGAAAAACTCTTCATGTTTGTGGCATTTCACAAATTTGCTAACCTCATTGTCTATTGAGCACAATTAATTGTGTAGGACCGCCACCCCCCTCCAATTCACACTTAACCTAGATTACCATTTAAGTTGTCTGCCAAATTTTTTTTTTTAATGGTTATTTGTTCTTCAGGATAATTATCTTTAAAAAAAGGTGCCATGTCAATGATACAGAGATGCCCCGGAAGGCCGAGTTTAAACAAAAAAGAAAAGTTTGCAAAAGGTCTGGTTACCACCTGTCGAATTATATACACAAATCTACAATCGGTGACCTGTTTATTCTTGTCTTTACTTTGTTCTATCAATTTTTTTCTCCCCCCCCCCCCCCCCCAGCGGCTGGAAACTTTGAACAGGCCAATTGGGCACTTGTCAAGGATCCATTTTGACCGTGTTTCCATTCAAGTCCCGGTGCTCCAGTGTTTGCCAAAACTTCTGTATCTGTGGTGATTTATCACCGAGACTTGTCAATTCCGGCACAGGATTTTTTTTTGACCGGGACCAACACCAGGCCTCTTAAGCTTGTAATCGGTCGGTAAATCTATAAAAAAAAAAAGGTCACGTCTGAAACAATTGGATGTATGGAGGTGCGCTATCTTATCGTTGGATTCCTAACGGGAAATGCGAGTTACAAAGCAGACGGCAATCTCTCGGGGGGAATCGCTTGCACGTGCAACCCAATTCCTGGGGCCGTTATCAATGCACCAACAACGGGTGGCTTTTGGGTAACAGCGGAACGGTATCAAACAGAATGAAAAAAAAACAGAGACAAGCATGCTTTTGAGATAAAGCACTTGAGAAGAGTTTACGGGCGACCAATCGATTGGATTGAACGGGTACGTCACAGAAGGGAAGTGTCCTGTCAGAATGTGACATTTTATGTGAGTGAACGATGATGACGAAACACTGGAAATATACATGTATCTGATGTTATAATTTGTTAATCTGACATGACCATTTGACCAAAATCTAACCATAGAGAGATACTTTGAATTTAAGGGGGGGGGGGGGCAACAACAGATTTTGAAGGGGAAAAAAGCCTTTCCAATAACACAGTACACTTGCCTGTAGTACAACTCTTGGCCTAACTCCTTTGGGTGTGTGAAAATTTTAATGTATATGAAAACTGGAGGATTCAGAGCTGTTAGCGCTAAAGGAAAGACTTCATGACCTAAAGAAATGTTTGTTTCTTTTTGTCAGACTAATGAGTTCCCATGCCGTTATTGATTCTCAAACTCAACCCATATTTAAAGTCCCAATGTCATCCTACATGACCTGATTCTTAAGCTCCGCCCACATTTAAAACCCCACTGTCATTATACATAACCTGATTCTCAATACCAATCTGAATACCTTATGCATTATAAAACATCCTGATTCTGCAGCTCCGCCCATATTTAAGGTAAAGCTCCGCCCATATTTAAGGTAAAGCTCCGCCCATATTTAACGCCCATCTACAGGTATAGTTCGTAAGTGAGAATGTGATACACGCCCACACACCACTGATTACTAGCACCCATTGCCTAAACTCACCACTTTGCACTACTTCTGGCTCCAATGGTTCCAACAATTTTCAATGCTACTCTGTGTGTAGTGGGCATGGTTTAAGTTGAAATGACGTCATACTTACGAACCGGATTGTCATTATACACGACCTGATTCTCAATACCAATCTTAATACCGAATGCATTATACACAACCCGATTCTGCAGCTCCGCCCATATTTAAATCCCTGATGTCATACTGTACGTGTACATGACCTGATTCACAAGCTCCACCCATATTTAAAGCCCCAATGTCATTATGCATGACCTGATTCTTAAGCTCCGCCCATATTTGAAAACCCCATTGTCATTATACATGACCTGATTCTCAAATACCCAATCTACCGTAAGCACCCAATGCATTATACATAACCTTATTCTGAATCTCTGCCCACATATAAAACCCACAATGTCACCATACATGACCTGATTCACAAGCTCCACCCATATTTAGGTGCCACAGGCCAAATATGGTAAAAAGTATCTTTCTCTTGAAAACGTGACCTAAAACAAGTACAAGTAAATGCTGTCGCAAAAGAAAAAAAATATGGGCTTGCGTGAGAACATGAACAATGGTAAGAGTACACATCACTACCTGCACGTACATGTATGACAACCAAAGTTAGCTCACAAGCATCTTGAATGGTTTCTCTACTCATTTATAACAAATAAATTGACCAAAAATGAGATCCAACATGTTACAGTCCATGGATTATGAGTCAACAACACTTTGTTGATGACACAAAGGAGAAGAAAAAGATACCGCTTTTTCCCCCTTTGTCCTTCCATTTAAACGAAAAATCTGTGAAGCTTTACGGCCTTGATTTTTTTAGCGTAAAAAAATTCGAACAGGTGCAACCGTTGCAAAGTTGGACA